CCAAACCTGATCAAGATTATCCGGAGCCACCGGACAAGTCATTTCCACAATGAAGTCGGCAAACGCCTGACCTTTCACTGCCTTTCTTGGTTCGTAAGTGATTTCAAGGCTCTGCATTTCAATAGCCCATTTCAACATTCTCCCGGATGAGTCCAAGGTAGACATTGGCCGCTTGAGTGGCTGGTCCGTGCAAATCACCACCGGATGTGCCAAAAAGTAAGGCTTCAATTTTTTGAATGCCATATACAAAGCGAGGCCAAATTTTTCAACCATTGGGTACCGGAGTTCAGCATTTTTAAGAACATGGCTAATGAAGTAAACCGGGAGCTACACGCCGTCTCGCTCAGCAAGGAGAACGGCACTGAGGGCATGGTCTGAGACGGCTAAATACATGTACAACGTCTCCCTAGGCAAAGGACTGACCAATCTAGGCAGAGAATGTAAATGCTCTTTCAACCTCTGGAACGCCGCCTCAGCATCATCCCCCCATTCAAATCTGGTCTTCTTCCTGATTGCTTGGAAGAAGTAGAGACATTTGTCACCTGACCGGTTGAGGAACCTCCCCAGGGCGGCCAGACAACCGGTGAGTCTCTGAACTTCCTTAACAGAGCGGGGTGACTTCATGTCAATCACCGCCTGTATCTTTTCGGGGTTAGCCTCTATCCCCCTTTGATCAATCAGGAATCCGAGAAACTTCCCAGACTCAACACCAAAGACGCATTTCTTAGGATTTAACATAACCTTATGCCGCCTGATGTGAATGTTTCTCGGAGATCAGCAAGGTGATCCGTCTGTAGCTTGGATTTGACTATCATGTCATCAATGTACGCCTCCACATTCCTCCCAATCTGATTAATGAAGACCGTATTAATCATCCGTTGGAAAGTGGCAGGCGCATTTTTCAAGCCAAACGGCATCACAGTATAACAGAATAGCCCCTGATCAGTGACAAATGTCGTCTTCTCTTGATCTTTCTTCCACAGGGGTATCTGATGGAAGCCGGAGTAGGCATCCATAAAGCTCATCAAGGCGTGACCGGCTGTAGAATCGACCAGACTGTCGATCTTTGGAAGCGGATAACTGTCCTTTGGACACGCCTTGTTGAGGTCTGTGTAATCAACACACATGCACCAGGTCCCATTCGGTTTCTTCACAAGGACCACATTGGCCACCCAGTCGGGGAATTTACAAGGCCGAATGAACCTGGCGTCTAGCAGCTTTTTGACTTCGGCAGCTGCCGCCTGACTTCTTTCCTCACCGTGGTTTCTTTTCTTTTGCCGGATGAGCTTCTTTTTGGGGTCCACGGCGAGTTTGTGGACAACAAGATCCGGGCTGACGCCTGACATCTCTTCCACTTCAAAGGCAAAAATGTCTTTGAATTCTTTCAGCAGAAGGTGCAAGCTTGCACCCAAGGTAGCATGAGCAACCGTCCCAACCTTAACAGTGCGTTCTGGACGGCTGTCGTCCAGTACGAGATCAATGCTTTCGCCAGCCGGTTGGGGACGGAGCTCATCTGACCGTTCACCGGCCAGTGATTGCTATTTTTTCTCTTTTTTCACCTCCACCAGCAGAGGAACCTTTCTTTTCTTTCCGGCTGCTGATGGGGCAGGAGCTGGGTCGGCATCCTTGACGTTGTCAAGGTCTATTGGTTCCTGACCGCCTGGGGCCACGGTATCTCGGACGGCTGAGAGATAACATTCTCGGGCCGTCTTCTGATCCCCATTCAAGGAACCAACAGAGCCGTCATCCCTCTCATACTTGATGAGCATGAGGAAAGGGATGATTACTGCCTTGGCTACGTTGAGGGTTGGCCTGCCAAGAATGATGTTATAGGCGGTCAACTCCTCAACGACCAAGAATCTGACGACAATATGTCGTCCCTGGCCTTTCTCTCCCAGCCGGATGGGTAAGTCAATTCTCCCGGCTGGGTAGACCATCCCACCCCCAAAACCAACCAAGGGGTGGGTGACCGGATGCATGCTGCTGACGTTGTATTTCAGCTTTTGCAGGCACCGGAGACTGATGATGTTTGATGAGCTGCCGGTGTTTATAAGGATCTGTCCAACCAGCTGATTGGCAACCTTACATTCAATGACCACCGGGTCATCATGCGGGCGGCAAACGCTGCCCCTATCCTTCTCAGTGATCAAGACGTCTGGGAAGGAGGAGCTGGCTTCCGCCTGTTCATCATCATCTTTGTCCATCTTTCGAAGATGGCTCTTGGTGCCCCGGATGGTAGGGCCACCACATGAGAACCCGCCTGCTAAAGTGTAGACCGGCTCCTTATCGGTATCCGAGCTACTAGCAGGCTGGGGGGTAGTCTTGGAGGACTGACCCTTGTTTTTCTTTTTTTCCCCGGCTGGGGACTTAGAAATGTAGGACTTCAACAGCCCTTTGTCAGCCAGACGGTCCAACGTACGCTGAAGACTGAAGCAGTCGTTGGTGTCATGGCCGACCTCCTCATGGAACTGACAGAATTTATTCTTGTTCCGTGTCTGAACAGAACTCTTCATAGGATTCGGCTTCTCAATGGACAGCCGGTCCTTTACCTCCATGAAGATGGAGTTGTAGTCTTTATTAAACTCGTACTTGGGGACGTACAGTTTAAATTCTTTCTTTTTCTTCTGGGACGACTGGTCAAAGTCAGTAACCGCCCAGACTTCTTTTCTTTTCTTGCTCTCTTCTTTGTTTTTAGCCGGCTGAGCTGACCGGCTGTCTTTCTGTTTGTCAGACTTCTTGGAGTCCGACTGGCTACCAGGCGAGCAGAGGTCGGTAGCTTGAATGTAGTTTTCCGCCTCCCTCAGGGCCGCCTGTAGGGTGAAAGCCCCTTTTCTGACTAGGTCGAACTTAAAGTTCGACCCGTCTCTCAGACCTTTAAAAAAGTCTGTAAAGGCTACCTCATCAGACAGCCCCTGAATCTGAATTCTGATCAGGTTGAACCGCCTGACATATGAGCGCAACCCTTCTCTCTCTCCCTGCTTAACAGTGCTCAAATCAAGGCTTGTTTTCTTAGCAGGGATGTTCATTGAGAAGTTGGAAGCAAACAGGAAGGCAAGCTTCCTGAAGCTATCTATGGACCCGGCTGGAAGATTTCCAAACCATTGTTGGGCAATGCCCTTCAATGTAGTCGGGAAGCATCGACACCAACTGGCATCATCCAAACCCTGCAGATACATGAGGTTGGTGTAAGCCATGAGGTGATCTTCCGGATTGGTGGTACCATCATAGGTACCAACCAACACATTCTTAACCTTGGTCGGCTGTGTCGCCTCGGTTATCTCCCGAGTGAACGCAGAAGGTTGTTCACCCTGGCGCAGCAGACGAAGCTCCCAGTCCAATGGCTGGACATTTGGATATGCCGCCTGACCCCCAAAGAAGGTCGGCTGCATGAAGTGAGGAGGATACTGTCTGTAAGCCTGAGTAGGCACATACGGTACATTTCCAATCATATGGGGGCCAGAATGGACGGTATTACCGCCTGTCTGACTCTCATGCAAGGAGGGTGCACTCCCTGCAGAAATATTGTTGAAGCTGTCTGGAAAGTTCGACGTTGAAGCCGACTCAGACAGCCATTGATTTCTCTTCCGGTTGATGATCTCTCGGGCATCGAGAGTTGATTTTTTACTTCTCACCGGCTGATGAGGTCGGCGAGGGTTATTGGTGTTCCCCCCATGAAGGAGAATTTTCGACCAATCGATGGTCCCGGCTGCCTTCTCCTTTGGGTGAGGAGTGGGCTGCCGATTTCTGACTGACTTCCCCTTCTCTGGAGGAGTCTTCTTCGCCGACTGACCTTTACTTGGGCCAGCCTGGCTTTTGGTGATCAGCTTTGTAATTTCACCCTTGAAACTCGTCATGAACCTCATGAGTTCGTCTCGGGTGACAGGGGCCGATCCAGCTGCCGTTTGGGTTGCCCCTTCTGGCTGCCAGTAGGTCTGCTCGAACCTGCCTGGGAGGCGCCCCGCTCCAGAGTCTCTCTGGGCCGGATGCGCTTGACTCTGAGAGAGCCGTCCTCGGCTGTAGAGGTTTCGACCTGAGGATCCTCATCCTCCTCATGGTCTGTAAAGACTTCTGGGTCTTCGCCCAGACGGTTAGGGGGTGGTACAGACTCTTGAACCATCTTCGAGGTACTCTCTCCACAGACGGCGCCAAATGTTTTGGGTGTTTTTGTCCCTCGGGAGAGTTACAACACGAAGACTGATCCTGGGTGAGTTGTACCTGCAAAACAAACGGAGACACCAGTTGGGTGGTGCTCCGCCTCCGACGCACAAGTTAGAAACTTGAAGGGAGAAAAAGGTGCGTAAATTTAGGTGGGGATCCGCTCGGATTCCTAGCTCAGGATGTCTCTATCAAAGAGTAAAATGTGTAATAAATGGTGAAAAACGTGCCCCCAAAAAGAGGGTCATCTCCCTATTTATAGGGTCTTTGGGATTTGAGCCCCTGATTAGGTCACTGTACCCTAATCAGTGGTGGGTTGCGCCGCTTTGCGGCTTTCTCGGGATTTGGGCCTAAAGGCCGCCCTTTTTTCCCTTATTTTCTGGAGTGTCACGTGTCGAGCAGAGATTGGTCCATTTTAAACCAATCTGGGGCTGACACGTGTCACATTCTGATTGGGCCACGTGGCAGGGTAGAATTACCCTAAACACTAACCATTTCATAGTTGTAACTTATTTTTTCTTATATCACTAGAATTACTCAGTTTCATAGATTCAGACATGTTTTTCCTTTAGAAAAGTTTGGCGACAATGCTTTTGACAACAAGTGTTTTTAAGTAGGAATTATTCTCACAAAAAAAAAAAAAAAAAAAAAAAAAAAAAGGTATTTGTTAGTAATGTACACGCAGTAGTTTGTAACTACATATATATATATACTCCATAAATTAAGAAACAATATAAACATTTACTCTGTAGCATTTTAGAAGCTTTTTTCTGAGTGACCAATTGCCACCAAATTGATCAAACAAACATATATAAACACAAATTAGTGAATTACACAATAGCTAATATCAATACAATATGATCTGCTAGTTGGTTATATCACCAAAAAAAAACAGCTTATAAATGCTTAAAATTCAAACTCATCTCATATTGGTACAAGTAGTACCATATAGAATCATCAAACAACCAATTTCCCCAAATAAAAATAGTTGAATACCTTCCTCTAGTACCATACCTATTTCCATCAAAAGAACAAAACAATCCGAATAGTCTAATTAAAAAAAATTGCAAGACAAATCCAACAATGTAGGTTGAATCAATCAATAACGCGATATCTATCAAGAGGATCCTTAAAGTGAAGTCGTTCATGGTAAACTCTCCAAGCATAATCCTCGAAAGAAAACGAGTTAAAAACCCTCTTATCCTCTTTACCATCATCGATATTACCATCATTGGTACTAACAATACTAGGCTCAATGCTTTGAAGATCATTATCATTGTTGTCACCTTCCTTATTATCTTGATATTGTGGTTCAAATGTTTCCTTTTCGCGGTTGTTGTGGTCCATGGACTTGTTAAGGATGTTCAAAAAGGGTGAGACAGTGCTCTCAAGAGGAAGGGTGAGTAGCACTGTCATTGATATGCAGGGTAAGCTTGAGTTTGCATCATCCAAAACCGGAGCCGGTCTTCCTCTCACTTTCTTTAGCTTTCCATTGCTCCAAACCTGTCAATTCTATCAATATTAGGTTGCTTCATTCAACACTTGCATATAACTATATCTAGATATTTTTTTGTGGTAGCCTGACTTATTACTTGACTAATAATTACATAGAAATTTCTCCAATGCATTCAAATAAAAAGGAAGGAGCTTAAGTATATATCCAAAAAAAAAAAGCCAAAATTGGCTCAACACTCCGAACTATGACTTGGATGCACCAAGCACCCTGTACTTATAGCCAAAACACTACAAAAACTAATCAGTTGGGTGCAAAGCGCACCTTTAGTGAGTTTTTCGGCCACCATTCTCATCGAAGTCGGTGAATCAAAATTTTATTTTTCGATTTGCATGCCGAAAAATGACTATAAAGATTTCAGGGGTCATTTTGGCTACTAAGCAAAGTGCAGGGTGTTGAGTGCACTCAAGCTATAGTTAAGAGTGTTGAAATTTTGCCAAAAAAAAAATGTATGTATATATGAAATTATCTATCACTTGCATGCATAATAATATACCATTAGGACTTGCTCTCATACCTCAGGTATCCTATTATTCATACTCCCCCGCCATATAACATTCACACAAGGCCAATTTAGAGCTCATGATTTTATGGCTAATCAATAGCGTAGCTTAGAATGGAATCATTACCAAAAATTACACTAGTTCTAAACTTCAAAACTCGTTCTTATGTCAATATCCATAGTAATGAAACCCGATTGATCTGATCTCCAAGTACTTGCTAGTACTACAAGTGTGTTTTCTTTTATGAATTGTCACTACTACTAGTCTGAAAGTCGTGAACATACACAATGTACTGCAAATTTGTGACCAGACATTGACATGAGAAAAATGATTTATATGACATTACGACCCTATGCATATATGTAGCCAGTTAAAATAAACAAATTGGTACATCAAAATTACGAATCAAACCTTAATAATATCGATTGACACATGATTTTGTCATACATATTCATTAATACAAGTATATATATCATAGTTTTAGTAAATACTTATAGTTGGCTCTTAAACGTTACTGCCTTGTCCTTATTAACAAATACGAGTACGGATTAATGTAATTAACAACAACTACAACAATAACGCCTGAGATAATCTGTATTCCACTATTTCAATCACTCATAATAAAATTGCAAGTCATAAACATATTACTTCGTATTATACTTGTAATTATAACCAATAAAAATCATGGATTCATAGTTGGCAAAAGTGAATTAGAACAATAGTTGAATATAAATGAAAACGACACACATTAATTAATTAACAATTATAATAATTAAATAAATAAGATATTGTGACGTATGTACATACCTGAGCAATGTCACCAAGTGTAACCAATACAGAGCCAACCATCGGCTCCACAATGACCGAACCAGAATCCGACAACAAATCCAACTTCCTTGCTCTTATCTGGTACAGCAACCCCACCACATACGGGTATACCTCCCTCCCTTTCTCACCGTCCGATCTTGTTGATGATACCCACATCAACGTACTGTATTGCTTGGGCCTGGGATTGGGCTTGGGCTTTTGGCCAACCTCCTCACCATCTCTAAACGGGTTCTCAAGCCCAACTGCACTCGCTACCTTCTCCACCACCTCCAACCCAACCTTCTCCAACTCAATAGTCAGCTCTCTCAAACTTCCTAAACTCAACTCAGTATTAGTAGTAGAACACTCAGCATCCAAGCAAAACGACCCCGTTTTATGATCATCGTCGTCATCGTCGTTGTTGAAGCCGAGAGGCCAGTCAGTAGGGACGGAGCTAAGTTTAACATCGAGTGGTAGCTCGAAGAGTGAGCGGGAGTCCGACTCAGCGGACTCCGCAAGTTGAGGGGTGATGGAGTCGTGGGTGAGCTGGAAGTAGCCGAGTTCAAACGAACTACGACTACTAAACGATGTGGAGGAGAGAGAAAGTGTAGGGAGAGGTTGTTGTTGTTGAGGTGATGATTCTGATGAAGATGACTTGGCAGCGCCACGTGGAGAGAGACGAGTGGGGAGAGAGAGGTTAGGAGGGAGGCGGTGGAGAAGGCGGGAGAGGGTGTCAGCTGCGGCGGAGTCTGATGACGTGGAGGAGAGAGAAGGTGGTTGGGTTGAGGGTGTTGGTGGTGGAGCTGAAGTGGGTGTGGGGCCGCCGTAAAGGTGGTTGAGGAGATGATGACGTGGGTTTTGTTGAGTAGAAGATGAGCTTGCCATTTTTGATTGATGATGAATGATAATAACGTACAATAATATGGAGGATGTTTTTCTTTGTTATAGAGGTAGAAAAGAATGGTATCAAAGTATTCAACTCAAATTAGGGTGTTTATACTAGTTGTACTTATTACTTACGTGGAATACATTGCATTTAATAAAATAAAATAAAATACCTATCTAATCATAAAATAATTAATCAAAGGATTATAGATAATGCAATGAATGTATGTCATTTGAGATGATAATTATAATTAACTATGCATGCACACCCAACATACAATGATAGTCAATGTATTTGGTTACTACTATATATCAACACGCATGTTGAACTTTTTAAATTGGTAAGCAGACCTTAAATCTCTTAATACTTATATAATTTTTTGATTCAGTATTTAATATTAGAAGCGTAGGAATTCATTACTCCCAAACATCCTAACTTGGCAAGATTTGAATCTCAAACCTAAAAACCTTACCAAGTGAGTCGAAACTTTAATTATTTTTAACACACTTGTTGAAACTAATGTGATAGCTAGAAAAGACCTACTTAATTAACACTACTTGTAATAATCTTTGTATTCTTATAAATTAAAGAAATTTTGATTAATAACAGAGTCAAATCAAGTGTTGTTGATAAACTAAAATAACCTTAGCTTGTTGAGTTGTTGACTTGTTTTACTTAAATGCGTGATTTGCATGAGATATTAGATAAGAAATGAGAAGTATTATGTTCATACTTATGGAGTGGATGTATTATTATAGGCTTAGCGTATAGAATTAGTTTTTTGTGAAATTTCTGCTTAAAGATTGGTAGGTGTCACTCGTGTCAGTGTCACTTGGAAATCAAATACTATGACATAAAATTACATTATAAAAATATAACTAATCCTTTCAGAAATTAACCCATACATAAAAACATACATTCTTCACACAAAAGGTTATTCAATAAAAAGTGTTTAGGAGTTCAATAAAGCCTAAAGGAATAGCATGCAACTACTTTAACTGAGATTTTGCGAACAACGAAATCACTTTTGTGGGTTAATTCTTTATTTAATAAATAACAAATAAATAAATAAATAAATAAATAAATAAGTACTGTACTTCTTATATGTATAACAGAATAAGCATTATTAATTGATTAGTATACTAATATAGTAATATGGGAAACAGAACACAGTGTTTCAGGAAATGGAGGAAAAGAAGGGTCGTGTATGATGTGTATCACTGTACCAGCACATTTGACACCCACAAATTTGCAATTAGAGTAGGGTTATGCCAACAACTATACCAAACTATTTGCCATAAGTACTTGTTAAAGACACAATTAGAGTAAGATTAAGCGACTTTTTAATAAAAGTTTTGCTGAATACAATCGTTAGAGATGTTAACAAGCAATTAAATACTACGGAGTACCAAGTATATATTTCTCGAAAAGGTCACTCTACAATCAGACTACATACGAAGAACTAGTATTAGTTTGTACCCAATCGGGAATTTCAATTAAATAAAATGTGGATTCAAATTTTTCATAAAATTTGGAAGTAATTCAACTAATAATAGTTACAAAAATAAATTTAACTTTGGTAGGAACAAGGAAGAGTAATATTGAAAAATGAAAATGGTGAAAAGCAAGAGTTAGGCACCTTAGGTTACGGGGGAATTTTCTGTGGCTTGGCTGATGCGAACATTGACAAGCATGTGCTGCCAACACCCCCACCTGCCACTGCAACCTTGGTACATACAGAGTAATTCATTTGTTTCTCTGTATCTTTTTTTATTTTCAGTGATTCATTCATTGTCCTCTGCTATCTCTTATGTTTCATGAAATGGTCTTAGAACAGTTTTGTTTAACCTCTATGTTCACCCGGAGGAATGTCATACAAACACCCGGGGGCAGGGAGCTGGGAGCGGCAAAAACTCCAATACTGAGGCTGTGATAGCTTGAGCCTTGAGTGCTCTATTGGTCACAAAAAGTGCTATCAAAATCGGGTATGTGATCGGTTTTAGTCAAGTTGGGCCGAATAAAATTTGAGACATGCTAGATCACTGCATCTATGTAGATCGAATTCTAAATTGGGTCTATTAGATCACTTCAAGTTTGGTCAGGTCGTTCTTGGATCGGGTTAATCTTTGACAGTCTTTACTACTTACTGTAATACTGTGCAATATGTAGGTACAATCCACATATCAAGATGGTTGTGGGTAAAAAACCTCAGAAGTAAAAGATACAACCCAATATAGTTCACAACAGCTACGAAAAAAAAAAAAAAAAGCCCAAAATCAACCATGCATGCCGCCACTATTCCACTCGAAATTCATGAAGCGTGTACAACAGTCACAGACACATTAAGCTTCACCCTTGGATGATACGGAGTAGTGTCCTAATAATCAATCCAACAACACTTTCAAGTACAAGATTGGAAAAGTAATCAAGCAAGAAACTATATTGCTCTCTAATTTGAAGATTAAAAAAAAAACACACACACACACACACAATGCACTAAACAACTTTGAAGACAATTTTGAAAAATAGTTCTTTTCGCTACTAACAGTATAACAGTTTTACCCTTTGTCACATAATTCGGAACAGTATCAAGATTCAAAACTGCAAGTATATAATTAAACCCAAACTCATGATGGGGACTTAAAAATTGGTCTCATGAGCTAAAATAGTAAAAATTTGTTAACTCTCTCAAATCATTATCTGCCTTATCTAGTAGCAAACAAACGTCTGCAAGCTCACAACTTCAAAGCTGCTTTTGCCATGGCAAGAGCACCCTCATAGGTTGTATGTCCACCAATAAAACCGCTCATATGCACAAAAACACCTCCAGGGATGCCACATCCCTTGGATAAATCATCATCCCTCAAACCTCTCCATGATTCTGGAAGAGCCTTCCTGCTCTCAAATCTATCAGGGGCTACTGCCACTGCCTGGATTCTCCAGTGTTTGCTTCGGTCCTCCTACCAAAAAGTAATGATATTACCCAAAAAAAAAAAAGTCTGAATTTGTTTTAAAATCACCCTGACTAACACTTGAAAAGCAATTTTCATCAACAGAATTTGATGTATTAAAGAGATGGTTTCATATAGACCAATGCCAATATTATTATCATGCAATGTTCAGTGGTCAAGTCAAAGGACAGACTAGAACAATTTTTAATAACTTTCTTAAGAAGATAATAACTCTGCCATACCTGGTAAAGAACATATTTGATGGGAGGATCAATCTTCATTTCCTGCTCAAGCTCAAATAGATGGAGTTTCCACTGCAAGGTAAACATACCATCAGATAGAAATTCCTAGTTTTACGTAATAAGTCTGCTCAAGATAAGTCTGCTTCATTATAGAGTTTTTCTAGTTTATGGCCCTTTATAATGAACTCATGCAACTCCCAATCAAGACCAACAAATTTCCTTTTGACGGTGATGGTTTCACATATAGTTGAGTAATTCCCACCGTTCAATTCAACAGGAACTTAAATTGAACGAATGCTTAGAAAAGCCATCTCTGTATTAGTATTATTGATTCCAAGTCACCATATATTTCAGCCTTTCAGATGCTCTTAAAAGTCAAAATTCTTAAGGAAAAAGCATGATACATGGTAGTAATTATCTTTCATCACAATGGTCAGGGTTAAATTTGACGAGCACTTAAAGCGGGAAGTGGAGCCTACTCTCCAAGGACTTTAACTCCCATACATGTTATGCAACACAGGGTTCTTCTTGAGCATTAAAGAACAAATGTTCATAAGGTCAAATCTTAATGATCAGGTTTGCATCTAAATGAATAATCTCAAAGTAAGCTCACTTTCTAAATATACAGAGATGATAAAATTCAAACACATCCTCCACACACATAAAAAAGAAAAAGGAAACAGCATAAACAAAATTTTGTACATAAATCATGGTAAAGTAGTTATGAGTAATATTTGCTGATCCAGACCACCATAATTGTGAATCGGTGCAACATGACGACAAAATTCAGATTATTTGCAAGTAAAAGTTAATGGAGATAAAGATTTGTAGACTACTTACCGGACAAAATCTATCCAAGACCAGTATCTCTCCGCTAGGGTCAACATCTTTTCTTGTTGACAGACACTCCACAACAATGGATCGAGCTGGCAACCATGATTTTGCAAGAGATCGGAGATTCTGAGAGCCAAAAGATGTTCAATGTCAAAGCAGACTAGAAACATGTGACAGCTCAAATTCCAAAATTTCTTAATGTGCAAGCAGCAGTGACTAAGCATTAAAAGGGTAAATTACAATTTAAGAATCTCACATCCAAAAACTCGCCACCAGCTAGATTCATTGCTCTCTCAAAGGCTTTGTTTTCGTTCTCCGATGATTGATCAGGATCTGTCCAATCCAAATTCAGTTTTCCAACTCTCGAAGACAAATGAGTGTTGTTGACATATCTTGGCGGCTGGTCAGTGTCGTACTGGTTAATTCCATTATCAATTGCATCAATAGCCTGCATCAATTACCAAAATATTTTATAAATGAGTCAATACAATCTAAGCTTATCAATCAATCAAAGCCTTAATCCCATAAGTGGGGTCGACTACATGAACCAAATCTGATTATTCTGTGTAGTCATGGACCAAAATCTTCCTATTCTATCCCTTACGATCCAATGCCTCACCCTCATGCAAATTCATATAATTCATATCCTTCATAAATCCATACAACCAAGTCATTTTCGGTTTTCCTCTCCCTTATTAAACCCCTCCATGGTCTCGCTCTTCCACTCTTCGTACCACTTAGATCTCCGTCTTACATGCCCAAACCAACTCAGGCGATTTCCCCTTAGTTTGTCTGTACTGTCTACCACACCTACTTTCTTGCGAATAACTTCATTTTTTATCCTATCTCTTAGAATGTTCCCGCACATCCACCTTAACATGCGCATTTCCATAACCTCCATCTTTTAAATATGCACCTTCTTAGAAACCCAACATTCGGTACTATAAAACAACACTGGTCTTATGGCCGTTCTGTAAAACTTTCCCTTCAATGCTTCGGTCACATAAAGATCTCGTGGCCGTTCTCCATTTAAGCCACCCCAACCTAACAATCTCAGCTTATCAAAGGCATCAATTTTCCCATTTTTGTATGTTAATTAAGAGAGAAAGATTTTTTAAAAATTCCATTTTCTTTACCTCTTGAATAAGATAAATCCTTCCAAAGGATAGAAGGATTGAAAACTAAAATCTTCTCTCCCCCCCCCCCAAAAAAAAAAAAAAAAAAAAATCCTCCTCTTCCTTTCAGTCCAACATACATTAATCAAAATACTATTACAAAGTCTTCAAGCTAGTGAAACACTACAACGTACTAGATACAAGAAAGTTGAGCAAACTACGACAGAAACCACCCCACCCACCCACTCCCTCACCCTATCCTCCTCTTTCAACAATTCAACAACATTTGATCAAAAAAAGCCTGTAAAAATTATAAATTTAATAAAAAGGCAAAAGTACAAACCTCCATAAAGTTTCTATAGACAGCAATAAACAACCGAAATACATCTTGGTGCCCTTCATCAAGCCTCAATTCCTTTGCAATTATCTCCATCCCAAAATGCTACATTTAAATAATTACAAACATCAAATCAAAACTATATTTCTTCAAAAACCCAATTCAGACAAAATAAAAATGAAATTAAAAAATTCCAATTCTTTAAATCACTTATACACAAATTACCTTGTAGACAAGACCAGCACTACTAAGCTTAGTATTAAACCCATGACCAAAAACCTCTGCAAAACCCTTTTGATGATGATCATATCTATCATTACTTGGATCATACACTCCTCCTACATCCAAAACTGCATCCAATGTCACCAAAACCTGCAAAAAAATTAAATCAATTAAAATGAAATCCCAAAAAAAAGAAAAACTTCTAAAAATCAAAATAAAACAAAATTCCAAAAAGGGGTTTTAAAGAAAAATCAATACAAACCCACCTGAGGATCACGGGTTCGAACAATTTCAGCACCAGAGAATTTGTCAGAGAGACGAATCATGAAGCAACCAAGAGCTTCGTCGCAGTGGAAGCTGCCATTGTGGGTGCCAACGCGCTTGAGCTGGGCGTTAATAGGGGAACCAGTTGAGAAGGTGGAAACCCTAGAAGGCGAGAATGCCATGAGAGAGAAAGAGGAGGAAGAAGAAGAGAGGAGAGAGAAAGAGGTGAGGAAAGGGAAGAGCTTGCGACTGCTTGTATTAAACCCTCCTCTGCTTACTGAGAGCATTAACATGTCCTTTCCTCTGCCCTTTTTGCTCCTTCCTTGGTTTTTTGTTTAGTTAGGTTGTGTAGGAGCCTAAGGATGCCCTTTTGGTTTCCATTGCGGAGTAATTACAGACTTTGTACGGCACGATTTGATTGATCATGGGTTAGCCGAGAATTTTTTGAACGAGTTCAAACTGTTGTTTATCCAATATCTACCTCTCTAAATTGAGGAAGACTAATTATTTTTGAAAAAATCCATTACAAGGAATTGTGATAATTTTTTCTTTAAGAACTAAGCTATAATTTCACTTGGTAGAATCTTTGTTAGTATATTCTATAATCATACTTGTATCAATCTTAAATGTTTGGAATGTCTAAGAAACGAGGGATTAGGGATTGACCTTTGTATTTTCTAAGTTGTTGGTAAGGCACACGAGCAAGCTTTGTTACTGACTTCTAACAACCGGCCGTATTGCTTTGAGGCTTGTCACACTACCCAAAAAAAGTCTTGTGAATGTGGTGATTGATAACCTTGACTCAACATTGTGAAAAAGAAGTGAAAGATGTGAAACCTTCGAAATCATCTCATGTTATTTGTTTTGTAAATAATACAAAGTATGAAGGAATAATTTTTATTACTATCGTAATTAAAAGGATGGTTTACTTACAGATAAGGAAAATCTCTAAAATAAGTCTCAAAAGATTTAATCTCTAGCGATGAAGAGCGATGTCACTACTCTACCACCTCAACCTTGAACAACGTAAATTGTAAAGTACCAATCTCATAATTAACAATGCTAAAATATCCTATAAACTATTAAACCTTTGTAATATACTTTCTCTGTTTCAATACTTCTCTTTTCATGCTTGTCGATGCATTATTTCAATCGTTTATATCTTTAATTATCAATATGTAAAAATTATAAATGTTAGATGTTAAAATAGTATAAACCGAGACGAATCTAACAAGATCCCACATGACTATATTTTTTCTTAGCTATAAATCGTCAAAGCTAGTCAAAGTGGAGTACATGAATAGTGTAAAAGTCAAAATGTTACAAGTATAAGAAAACGGAGGAAGTGTTTAAATTTTGTTTTTTTCATGTGTTTTCTATAGTAATACAAGGAGAAAATACTCGTTAATATGGCATATTAACGAGACATGTTAATATGAGGGTTATAGACGTCATTTCGCTTAGTAAAGTAAGGGTCTTTTGTAATTTTGTTGACCACCGTCATTAATAGTCTAACTATCGTTAAACCCCCCCCCCCCCCCAATTCATAACTCCTTTCCTCAAATCCCATACTGTAGAACTCCAATTAGCCAAATAGTTCGAGCAATTCGCCAAGTAATTCTCCAATTCGTAGCACCTGCATTTCTCGGAATTTGTCAAGTAATTCTCCAGTTCGCAGCTCTGCAATTCAATTGCAAGGTTGATGATTGGCCGCAAATTTTTGATCGAAATCCACTTAGATATTAAAATTCAATTTCAAAATCTATTGTTGATCGAGAATCATCAATTTTCAATTTCTTAAGATAGTATGTAGCAATTTCAACGGAGGAGGGAAAACTCACAAAAAAACGTAAAATACCTACCCTTTAGGGTTAACAATGCCCTTTATTTCTCACTTTTTCCTCAGGGTTTTCGTAGAATTTGGCGGCGGAGCCGCCGGGAACGACTGACGAAATGGTGGGTCGGGCTTCGTGTATGTTGTGGTGTTGGGTTGTTGTCTGAGATCTTGGTAAAAATTCTGCCATTGTTATGTTGAGAAGGAAGGATGAGGAAGAAGGGAAGTAGGAGGAAGAAGGGAAAACAGATGTTAACCCTTAGCTAACGTTACAGTTAAGTGGCCACATCACCCAAAAAGTAAAAAATATTAAAATAATGAAACAAGTGCTGATATTTGCAAAAATGCCATCATATTAACATGTTATGTCAATATGGCTTATTAATTGGACACTACTAGTAATACAAGTACGAAGTACAAAGTATGATGGACCCAATCAATTTGATCGCATTTTAACGGATTTACCTGCTTCCTTCAAGTTCGATCTTTATATTAACCCCTTCATTTCATCTCCCTTCTTCCTGTAATTTAATTTTTTTTTTTTTTTCTTATTAACGCTTATTTGCAAATTGCAATTGATAATTTACATAATCATCAACCCAGAAAACTCAAATTTATTGTTTAACATACAATTACAAAAAATAGCTCAGAAATTCTTGATCGTGAATTCGCAATGTTGGGTAAAATCTTCAATAAGCATTCATCTGATTCTCAGGTGCTTCCCTCTTAATTTATCTTTCTACGTCTGTAATTTTTTATCTATTATACTTCCTTTGATCATTGCTTAGGGTTTGATCTTGTTCTCCTTTTATCCCCAAATTAGTTAATTCTGGAATTTTATTCGATAATATTCAAAAGAAGTTCAATTTTTAGCTTTAATTACAAGATGATTAGATGGGATTTTTTCTGCTGATTATTTTTTTAAGATTTGTGTTGAAATTTGTATGTGTTAGTTGATATACTGTATCCAAAGTGTTTTTTTCTTTTTTTTTTTTTTGGAATATGGAGTGAGAAATGGCCATTTTTTCTTATTGACATTCGACAAAATATAGGAATTGGTAAAAATCTTATTAATGCTGTAATATCAGATATTGTAGGGTATAAGGGGTTTGCCTTTCTACAGTAATTAGCGAGGTTTGTTTCTTTTTTTGCATCGACGTGTTTTTAATCTTTATATACAGCCAGATAAGCAGCAATCATGTAACAGTCAATAAATTTTGTATAATGAGTTATCGAAAATCTTGTTTTAAACTTGCTGTATCTAGGTTTGTATTAGCAAGAAGTTTATTTGGTAAGTGATCATAAGTCTCAGAACTCATGAATTGAGGGAAGGAAAGCTTGTATTCATTATCATGGGGACGAATAGCATTCGACTCTCTGAAATATCTGCATTCTTGTCCAATATTACTGATTCTTTTCATTTATCAGCGACCGAATGAATCAGCGAAAAGTAAGGCTCTGATTGACTTAAACCCACAAATTATTGCTCATTATGGAATACCACCTACTGCATCCCGTCTTGCTTATGATCCCATTCAGCAGCTTTTGGCAATTGGAACTCTGTGAGTTATATTTCTCATCTTTCTTGTTTCTACTGATTAATGTTACAAAGGTGTACCCTTAATCAACATATTAAAGGTTGAATCTGGTTTATTACTTATGAGTACATCTGTATGTATATAAGATGTGTGTTTCAACTTTACCGAGATGAAGAATTACTAGCTTAGTGTCTAATTAGTACTTTAATATCTATCTGTATTTGAAATGTTTTCACAGCTAAATTTACTATGTGATCTAAGCTTGAGAAAGAATCACATACCACTTTATTAGTAGCTTGATGTAGCTTCTTATCTTAATTAATTTATGTGTATAATTTTTCCCTCTTTAGTATTGACCGGGTTATCTTTATTATTTTATCCAAGATCAAGACATTGATATACACTTTATGATTAATTATTAATGCAGTAATGCTAATAAATATATGTTTCCAACAGAGATGGAAGAATTAAAGTTATCGGCAGCAATGATATAGAAGGCCTCTTGACATCTCCTAAGGAAATACCTTTTAAAAACTTAGAGGTAGTCTAACATGATGTGCTTGTTATTTCTCCCTTTTTCCTATGTTTTCTGGCAATTATTGTCACATATTCATTACTCAATTATTGCATGATACATGCTTAATTGCCTGTTTTTAGGTTCTCTTATGTTCTAAGCTCACACATTAATTTTCTTTTATCAATATGCTCAGACTTCTGGTATGATATGTTTACAAGTGGTTTGCATTGTGACAGTCTAATTAGTGGTCAAGTATCATCGAAATCAAGTAGAAATAATCAAATAAGTGAAGTATACAAGAATAGAAAAGGAAGAAAAAATGTTCTTATCATGCTTATGTTTTCTATTATGATTTGCATTAGTTACCAAATTTTTTGTTTTTTTGGAACTTCATCACTAAGAACTGTGCCATGCGGTAGTCTTTGTGACAAAGGCCTAATTTTTTAGTCATCCAAAGCCAAATTTGCTGGTTTATAAATTTTCCTTGGTAAAAGTATTAGTTGATTGTCTATGGCACACAATTCACCCTTTGCTGGCCTTGCTGGCCTTTTAGAACCAAAACCCTCTATTCTGTTGGGGTCTTTTAGAACCAAAACCCTCTATTCTGCTGGGGTAAGGGAAGTAAAGCTGTGTACGGGTTACCCTTCCAGATCTTCTTTACTTGCAGGGGTAATTAGTTCACCTTTCTTTATTAGAAACCTCTATTTATCTTTTAAGATCTCTCTAATTAAAACCCTCTATTTCTGCAGGGGTAAGGCTGTGACTTGTTAGTGTTCGTATGAGAGGCATTGCGTTGTGTACTTGTGTCTACTATAACTATGCCTGTTTGCACAGATGTTGACCTAATAAGAACATATCTCTAGTAGATATGTTGAATGCTGCTATGTTTTTACTTTCTTGTCATATAAACTGCATTTCTGTTACTGAAGCAGGATAAATGTTTTACGCAGCACCTTTACTTGATAATCTGAAATTCATTAAGTTTGAATATTGATTCTCTTAAACTCCATCATTCTTGTTACTTATTAATTATTTAATTATTTTTGTGAACAGTTCCTTCAAAATCAAGGCTTTCTAATTGGCGTTTCAAATGAAAATGATATCCAGGTATTGATTTTGCATCACCGGAAATCCATCTATTTATGTTTCACTTAATTTTCTGGTGGTCTATCTCAATTTTTGTACTCCCTCTGTATAATCATTTAGATATATGCATGATTCAGATATTACTAATTTTGGCAGGTGTGGGATCTTGAGCACAGATGTATAGCCTCCGTGTTGCAATGGGAATCAAATATAACTTCGTTTTCTGTTATCGAAGAAACAAATTATATGTATTGACTCACAAACCTAATAGTCCCTGTATACTTTACGGGTAAAAGTGTGGACATCATAGAAGTCTTCTGATCTGAGCATGGTTGCTAAAATACTGTAATACAGGTATTTAGGGGATGATTGTGGATTGATCTCAGTACTACAGTATAATAATGAAGAACGAAAGATTCTGCGGCAGCAATACAGCATCCCAGTTCATTCAGTTTCTGGTACTGATATCACTCTATAATCTGTTTGGACCTCTTGTTTGCATTACAAATTATTTTCTTTTTCCTCCGCTGTGATAATCCCTTTCAATTTTTGTCATACATGTTCTTGTTGACTCTTTCTTCCGCATTTGGTGTCAATTTGGTTGTGCATCAAGTCTCCTAAGCATGCAAAGCTAGGATAGACTTAGAAATCATGCTCTAGTTCTCTGAGGGGCTGTTTAAGCAATGCAAATAGTAAGATGTAACAGAAAATGGTGTAAAATATTTAATGTGGAGATCTTATGTGTTATGATATTGATGTTAGTCCATTGACTTTTTAACAATTTACCACTACTGTTAATTATGCAGAGGCTTCTGGGATTCCACTGCGTAATGATCAATCTGTTGTTGGAATTCTTCCTCAGCCCTGTTCTGGGGGAAATAGGTAAGATGAGAACGTGGATTTCTGTTCTCTGAATGCACAATTTTGCAATTCAGAAGCAGTAGGTACTTTTAAAATTGTGATACCTTCTTTTTTTCCTTCTTTCCTGAATTTTTCCACCTTTAGGGAGGAGAAGGGGGGAGGGAGAGGTTAAATCAAATGTGTTACTAGTAGACTGGTTTAGAGCTGTCAATTCAGGTAAACGGGTCGGGTTGGGTCTGGTAAGAGTGGGTCGGGTCAACTTGGGTCGGGTCAATTTGGATTAATTCCATAACCTATGCGGGTCGGGTTTGGGTTGGGTCATGCTTGAGTCGGGTCGGGTTTAGGTCGGTTTAATAACAGGTCGGTTTACATTCGGGTTGGGTGAACAATAGGTCGGGTTTAATTCAGATTTTCACGGGTTTAAACGGATTAGGGTTATTCTCGGGTTCGAGTCAGGTTCAGTTCAAGTCAATAATTTGCGGGTTAGAATCAGGTCGGGTCATTCTCGAGTTTGAGTCGGGTTCGGTTCAAGTCAATAATTTGCGGATTACCCCCTCCGTTTTTAAATACTTACTCCACTTTCCTTTTCCGGCCGTTTTCAAATACTTGCTCCATTTCCTTATTTGGAAAGCTTTTACAATATTTAATTAATTTCTCCTAACAAGTAGACCCAACAATATTAATTCCATATTCCCTCTCTTTCAATTTTCTCCACTATTTTTGGATTTTACAATTTTTTATTCTTCCACCAACCCCATTACCTCCATATTTTATTACTTTCTCTTATTTTTCCTAAAACTCCGCGCATGGAAAAATGGAGTAAGTATTTAAAAACGGAGGGAGTATAATCAAGTCCGGCCATTTTCAAGTAGGGTCATTCTCGGGTTCAAGTCCGGTTCAGTTTAAGACAATAATTTGCGGGTTATAATCAGGTTGGGTCATTTCCAAGTCGGGTCATTCTCGGATTCAAGTCGGGTTATGTTCAAGTTAATAATTTGCAGGTTACAATCAGGTCAGGTTATTTCCAAGCCGGGTCATATTCGGGTTCAACTAACTATAAATAGATAATTATAATTTTTATCAAGCTAATTATTTCCTTAGACTATAATATATATGACAATATACTAGGGAACTATAGTCTATAATTTAGGAAGATAATTATCTCCTTTGATCATACAACAAATACATACTATATTTTACTCTTAAATTTGAGGATGATGCTCCTTTCTTTTGCTGCCTGGACCGACTTAGTCTCCCTAGACAAAATGCATTGATCAACAATAATAAGGTGGTCTAAATTGCATTTAAGGTGATTTGAAATCGGGTCAGGATCAATTTGGGTTGAATTTAGGTTGGGTCAATAACAAGTCGTGTTAATTTTGAGTCAGGTTAGTAACAGATCGGGTTGAATTTTTGGGTCGGGTAAGTAAATTGTCTGGTAAAATTCGGGTCGGGTCAATAATAAGTCGGGTTCAATCTCGGTCAGGTTAATAACAAAGCGGGTTGATTTTGGGTCGGATTTGTAACAAGTTAGGTTAAATTCAAGTCGGGTTAGTAACAAGTTGGGTCAAATTCGAGTTTTGACAGGTTAAAACGGGTTTAGTCAATTTCGGTTCAAGTCGGGTTAGTAACAGGTTAGGAACGGGTCGGCCTAAATTCAGGTCAGGTTAGTAACAAGTCGGGTTAAATTCGAGTTTTGACGGGTTAAAACGGGTTAAGGTCAATTTCGGTTCAAGTCGGGTTCGAAGAAAGTTAATTTATATTTCGGTAATTTATATTTCCAAACAAAAATAAGTCAAAAAATTCCAAAATTGAAGGCTAATCTCCACGAATTTTGAAAAATTTTGGAGGTTTCGGAGCCCGGTGTCGAAAAGTCTTGAAATTATACGGGATACATCTCGGGTCATATAATGCCGTTTGGAACCATCTATGATCATTAGTTGTTGTCATAAATGTTCGTGGTAGGCTTGAATTAATGAAATCGGTGCAAGTTGTATATCGGTAAATTGGCCGTTTATAGGCAAATTGGATAGTTTAACCCACCCAATTGGACTACCGGAGGGTATTAGGGATCATGGTAAAAATTTCGGCAATTTTTATTTTCGGACATAAATAAGTCAAAAAATTTAAAAATTTAAGGCTAATATCCACGGTTTTTGAAATTTTTTGGAGATTTCAGGCCAGTGTAGAAAAGTCTTGATATTTTTGGAGATACATGTTTGGGTCATATAATGCCGTTTGGAACCTTATATGATCATTATATGGTGTCATAAATGTTCGTAATATGCTTGAGTTGATGAAATTCGTGCAAGTTGTAAACTGGTAAATTGGCTATTTAATGGAAAATTGGATTGTTCCACCCAACTAATTGGACTCCCGGAGTATATTAGGGACCATGGTAAATATTTCTGCAATTTTTATTTTCGGACGGAAAAAAGTCATTAAATTAAAAAATTGAATACTAATATCCACGCTTTTTGAGAAATTTTTGAGGTTTCGGAGCCCCGGTGTCGAAAAGTATTGAAATTCTATGGGATACATCTCGAGGTCATATAATGCCGTTTAGAACCATATATGATCATTAGTTGTCATAAATGTTCGTGATAGGCTTGAATTAATGAAATCGGTGCAAGTTGTAAACCGGTATATTGGTAGTTTAAAGGCAAATTGGATGGTTCCACCCACCTAATGGGATTCTTGGACGGTATTAGGGATCATGGTAAACAATTTGGAAATTTTTATTTCCAGGCGAAAAAATATTCAAAAATTACAAAATTGAAGGCTAATATCCACGCTTTTTTAGAAATTTTGGAGGATTCGTGGTCTGAAGTCGAATAGTCTTGAAATTCTAGGGGATACATATCGGGGTCATATTATGCCGTTTGGAGCCATTTATGATCATTATATGTTGTCATAACTGTTCGTGGTAGCCTTGATTTAATGAAATCGGTGCAAGTTGTATACCGGTAAATTGGTCGTTTAAAGGCAAATTGGATAGTTTAACCCACCCAATTGGACTACCGGAGGGTATTAGGGATCATGGTAAAAATTTCGGCAATTTTTATTTTCGGACATAAATAAGTCAAAAAATTCTAAAAATTGAAGGCTAATATCCACGAATTTTGATAAATTTTAGAGGTTTCGGAGCCCCGGTGTCGAAAAGTATTGAAATTCTATGGGATACATCTCGAGGTCATATAATGTCGTTTAGAACCATATATGATCATTAGTTGTTGTCATAAATGTTCGTGATAGGCTTGAATTAATGAAATCGGTGCAAGTTGTAAACCGGTATATAGGTAGTTTAAAGGCAAATTGTATGGTTCCACCCACCTAATGGGATTCTTGGACGGTATTAGGGATCATGGTAAACATTTTGGAAATTTTTATTTCCAGGCGAAAAAAATTCAAAAATTACAAAATTGAAGGCTAATATCCACGCTTTTTTAAAAACTTTGGAGGATTCGTGGTCTGGTGTCGAAAAGTCTTGAAATTATAGGGGATACATCTCGGTGTCATATTATGCCGTTTAGAGCCATTTATGATCATTATATGTTGTCATAACTGTTCGTGGTAGCCTTGATTTAATGAAATCGGTGCAAGTTGTAAACCGGTATATTGGTAGTTTAAAGGCAAATTGGATAGTTTAACCCACCCAATTGGACTAGCAGAGGGTATTATGGACCATGGTAAAAATTTCGGCAATTTTTATTTTCGGACATAAATAAGTCAAAAAATTCCAAAATTGAAGGCTAATATCCACGAATTTTGAGAAATTTTGAAGGTTTCGGAGCCCCAGTGTCGAAAAGTCTTGAAATTCTATGGGATACATCTCGAGGTCATATAATGTCGTTTAGAACCATATATGACCATTAGTTGTTGTCATAAATGTTTGTGGTTGGCTTGAATTAATGAAATCGGTGCAAGTTGTAAATCGGTAAATTGGCCGTTTAACAGCAAATTGGATGGTTCCCCACACCCAATTGGACTCCCGGAATGTATCAGGGACAATGGTAAACATTTAGGCAATTTTTATTTCCGGGGAAAAAAAGTCAAAAAAATTCAAACATTGAAGGCTAATTATCCACGTTTTTTGAAAAATTTTGGAGGTTTAGGGCCCACTGTAGAAAAGTATTGATATTTTAGGGGATACATGTCAAGTTCATATAATGCCGTTTGGAACCATATATGATCTTTATATGTTGTCATAAATGTTCGTAATATGTTTGAGTTAATGAAATCCGTGCAAGTTGTAAATCGGTAAATTGGCCGTTTAATGGAAAATTGGATTGGTCCACCCAACCAATTGGAATCCCGGAGGATATAAGGGACCATGGTAAACATTTCGGCAATTTTTATTTCCGGACGAAAAAAGTCACTAAATTCAAAAATTGAAGACTAATATCCACGCTTTTTGAGAAATTTTGGAGGTTTCGGGGCACGTTGTCGAAAAGTCTTGAAATTTTAGGTGATACATCTCGGGGTCATATAATGCCGTTTGGAACCATATATGATCATTATTTGTTATCATAAATGTTCGTGGTAGGCTTGATTTAATGAAATCGGTGCAAGTTGTATACCGGTAAATTGGTCGTTTAAAGGCAAATTGGATAGTTTAACCCACCCAAATGGACTGCCGGAGGGTATTAGGGACCATGGTAAAAATTTCGGAAATTTTTATTTCCGGACATAAATAAGTCAAAAAATTTCAAAATTGAAGGCTAATCTCCACGAATTTTGAGAAATTTTGGAGGTTTTGGAGCCCGGTGTCGAAAAGTCTTGAAATTCTATGGGATACATCTCGGGGTCATATAATGTCGTTTGCAACCATATATGATCATTAGTTGTTGTCATAAATGTTCGTGGTAAGCTTGAATTAATGAAATCGGTGTAAGTTGTAAACCGGTGAATTGGCCGTTTAACAGCAAATTGGATTGTTCCCCACACCCAACTGGACTCCCGAACTGTATCTGGGACAATGGTAAACATTTAGGCAATTTTTATTTCCGGGGGAAAAAAAGTCAAAAAAAATAAAAAAAAATTGAAGGCTAATATCCACGTTTTTTTGAAAAATTTTGGAGGTTTCAGGGGCCCTGTGTAGAAAAGTCTTGATATTTTTGGAGATATATGTTAGGGTCATATAATGCTGTTTGGAACCATATATGATAATTATATGTTGTCATAAATGTTCGTAATATGCTTGAGTTAATGAAATTTGTGGAAGTTGTAAACCGGTAAATTGGTTGTTTAATGGAAAATTGGATTGTTCCACCCAGCCAATTAGAATCCCGGAGGACATTAGGAACCATGGTAAATATTTCGGCTATTTTTATTTCCGGACGAAAAAAAGTCACTAAATTCAAAAATTGAAAACTAATATCCTCGCTTTTTGAGAAATTTTGGAGGTTTCGGGGCTTGGTGTCGAAAAGTCTTGAAATTCTAGGAGATACATCTAGGGGTCATATAATGTCGTTTGGAACCATATATGATCATTATTTGTTGTCATAAATGTTCGTGGTAGGCTTGATTTAATGAAATCGGAGCAAGTTGTAAACCGGTATATTGGTAGTTTAAAGGCAAATTGGATGGTCCACCCACCCAATGGGATTCTTCGACGGTATTAGGGATCATGGTAAACATTTCGGAAATTTTTATTTTCAGGCGAAAAAAATTCAAAAATTACAAAATTGAAGGCTAATATCCACTATTTTTTAGAAATTTTGGAGGATTTGGGGTCTGGTGTCAAAAAGTCTTGAAATTCTACGGGATACATCTCGAGGTCATATTATGCCGTTTGGAGCCATTTATGATCATTATATGTTGTCATAACTGTTCGTGGTAGGCTTGATTTAATGAAATCAGTGCAAGTTGTATATAGATAAATTGGTTGTTTAAAGGCATATTGGATAATTTAACCCACCCAATTGGACTACCGGAGGGTATTAGGGACCATGGTAAAAATTTCGGCAATTTTTATTTTTGGGCGAAAAAAAGTCGAAAAATTCCAAAATTGAAGGCTTATATCCACGTTTTTTTAGAAATTTTGGAGGTGTCGGGGCACGGTGTCGAAAAGTCTTGAGATTTTAGGGAATACGTCTCGGGGTCATATAATGTCTTTTGGAACCATATATGAAATATGATCCTTATATGTTGTCATAAATGTTCGTGGTAGGTTTGATTTAATGAAATCGGTGCAAGTTATAAACCGATAAATAGGCCGTTTAAAGGCAAATTGGATGTTTTCACCCACCCAATTGGACTTCCGAAGGGTATTAGGAATAATGGTAAACATTTCGGCAATTATTATTTCCGGGCGAAAAAAGTCTATAAATTCCATAAATAAAGGCTAATATCCACGCTTTTAGAGAAATTTTGGAGGTTTCGGGACCCGGTATTGAAAATCCCTGAAATTATAAGGAATACATCTCAGGGTCATATAATGTCGTTTGGAACCGTATATGATCATTATTTGTTGTCATAAATGTTCGTGGTAGGCTTAAGTTAACGAAATCGGTGCAAGTTGTATACCGGTAAATTGGTCATTTAAAGGCAAATTAGATGGTTTCATCCATCCAATTGGACTCTTGGAAGGTATTAGGGACCATGGTGAACAATTCGACAATTTTTATTTCTGGGCGAAAAAAGTCAAAAAATTCCATATTTAAAGGCTAATATCCACACTTTTTGAGAGATTTTTGAGGTTTCAGGTCCAGTGTCGAAAAGTCTTGTAATTCTAGGGGATATATCTCGTGGTCTTTTAATGCCGTTTGGAACCTTATATGATCATTATTTGTTGTCATAAATGTTCGTGGTAGGCTTGAGTTAATGAAATCGGTGTAGGTTGTAAATTGGTAAATTGGTCGTTTAAAGGCAAATTGGATGGTTCCACCCATTCAATAGGACTCTCGGAGGGTATTAGGGACCATGGTAAACATTTCGTCAATTTTTATTTCCGGACGAAAAAAATTCAAAAAATTCTAAAATTGAAATCTAATATTCACGTTTTTTGAGAAATTTTGGAGGTTTCGGGGTCTGTTGACGAAAAAACTCGAGATTTTAGGGGATACATCTCGGTGTCATATAATGTTGCTTGGAACTTTATATAATCATTATATGTTGTCATAAATATTCATATTAGGCTTGAATTAATGAAATCGGTGCAAGTTGTTAATATTTAAATTGGTCGTTTAAAGGTAAATTGTTTGGTTCTAACTACCCAATTGAACACCCGGAGGGTATTAGGAATCATGGTAAACATTGCGGCAACTTTTATTTCCGGGCGAAAAAATGTCAAAAAAAAATCAAAAATTGAAGGCTAATATTCACCTTTTTTGAGAAATTTTGAGTTTTCGGGGCCCGGTGTTTAAAAGTCTTGAAATTCTAGGGAATACATCTCGTGGTCTTATAATGTCGTTTGGACCAATATATGATCATTATTTTGTTGTCATAAATGTTCGTGGTAGGCTTGAGTTAATGAAATCGGTGCAAGTTGTAAACCGGTAAATTGGTTGTTTAAAGGAAAATTGGATGGTTCCACCCACCCTATTGGACTATCGTGGGGTATTAGGGACCATGGTAAACATTGCGGCAATTTTTATTTTCGTGCGAAAAATAAAAAACATTCCAAAATTGAAGGATAATATTCATGCTTTTTTAGAAATTTTGAAGGTTTCGAATCCTGGTGTCGAAAAGAAATAAGAATTTAGAGATACATCTCGGTGTCATATAATGCAGTTTGGATCCATAAATGATCATTATATGTTGTCATAACTTATAAATGTTTGTTGTAGGCTTAAGTGAATGAAATCGGTACAAGTTGTAAACCGGTAAATTGGTCATTTAAAGGAAAATTTTATGGTTCCACCCAGACAATTGGACTCCCAGAGGGTATTAGGGACCATGGTAAACATTTCGGCAGTTTTTATTTCCGGATGAAAAAAAGTCAAAAAATTCCAAATTTGAAGACTAATATCCATGCTTTTTGAGAAATTTTAGAGGTTTCGAATAGAGCTGTCAATTCGGGTAAACGGGTTGGGTTTGGGTCGGTAAGAGTTGGTTGGGTCAACTTGGGTCGGGTCAATTCGGATTAACTCCATAACCTATGCGGGTTGGGTGGGTTGAGTCATGCTTTAGTTGGGTCACGTCGGGTTATACTTTTTTATTGGTTTTGGGTCGGGTTAATAACAAGTCAGGTGAACATTAGGTCGGATTTAATTCAGGTTTTCACGGGTTAAAACGGATTAGGGTAATTCTCGGGTTCAAGTCATGTTCGGTTCAAGTCAATAATTTGCGGGTTATAATCAGGTCGGGTCATGCTCGGGTTTGAGTCGGGTTCGGTTCAACTCAATAATTTGCGGGTTATAATCAAGTCGGGTCATTTTCATGTCGCGTCATTCTCGGGTTCAAGTCGGGTTCGGTTCAAGTCAATAATTTGCTGGTTATAATCAGGTTTGGTCATTTTCAAGTCGGGTCATTCTCGGATTCAAGTCGGGTTATGTTCAAGTCAATAATTTGCAGGTTACAATCAGGTCGGGTCATTTCCAAGCAAGGTCATATTCGGGTTTAACTAACTATAAATAGATAATTATCATTTTTATCAAGCTAATTATTTCCTTTGACTATAATATATATGGCAATATACTAGGGAACTATAGTCTATAATTTAAGAAGATAATTATCTCCTTTGACCATACAACAAATATATACTATATTTAACTCTTAAATTTGAGGATGATGGTCCTTTCTTTTGCTGGCCTTGATCGACTTGGTCTCCCTAGACAAAATGCTTTGATCAACAATAATAAGGTGGTCTAAATTGCAATTAAGATGATTTGAAATCGAGTAAGGAACAATTTTGGTTGAATAAAGGTCGGGTCAATAACAAGTCGTGTTGATTTCGAGTCGGGTTAATAACAGATCGGGTTGAATTTTTGGGTCGGGTTAGTAATAGGTCTGATAAGATTCGGGTTGGGTCAATAACAAGTCGGGTTGAATTTGGGTCAAGTCAATAACAGGTCGGGTTGATTTCGGGTCAGGTTTGTAACAGGTTGGGTTAAATTCGGGTTTGTAACAGGTTGGGTTAAATTCGGGTCGGGTTAGGAATGGGTTTGGTTGAATTCAGGTCAGGTTAGTTACAAGTCGGGTTAAAACCGGTTTGGGTCAATTTCGGTTCAAGTCGGGTTCGGTTCAGGTCAATAATTTACGGGTTACGTTCGGGTTGGGTCATTTCCAGGACAGTTCATGTTCGGGTTCGGGTCTCACATACTCGGGTCTAGGGTTCGTTTCAAGTTGGGTCTGGTCGGGTCTGGGTCACCATTTTTCCAGGTTTAGATGGGTCGGTTAATAATCGGGTTTGAGTAGGTATTTCAGGTCGGATCAACTTTTGACAGCTCTAGACTGGTTGAGCTTTAATAAGGATGGAAAGACAGAAAATAACAATATGATTAGCTTAGAATAGATTCGTTTCAAAGTAGAAAGCCCAATCAGTTATGGAATTGATGGAATATTCACTGTTTGTCTGTAGACTCTGTACATCATAATTACTCTAGCATTGATGTGCCTTGCTTAGTTGTTTGCTGTATTAGATGTTACCATTTGTTACATTATGAGTTTTTCTTGCAGATTGCTGTTTACATATGATAATGGAGTTATCGTTTTGTGGGATATCTCTGAAGATCAACTAGTTTTTGCTAGAGGATGGAATAGCCACCAGGTAAATGACGATCATGTTGTTAATTTAGCAGATATTGGTGACGAACAAGTGGATAAAGAGATCATCTCTCTTTGTTGGGCATCGTCAGACAAATCAATACTGGCTGTTGGCTACGTAGATGGAGACATTTTGCTGTGGGATTTGTCTAATGTTGCAACAAGAAAATACCACAAATCTGGAAAGCCAGTAAACAATGTGATCAAGCTTCAATTGTCATCAGCCGAGAGAAGATTTCCTGTGATTACTTTACATTGGTCAGCGAGAGGTGTATCAAATGATGATGGTGGCCAACTCTTTGTATATGGTGGTGATGAAATTGGATCTGCTGAAGTTCTGACGGTATATCTCTAACTTAATCCGGCTAGCATTAGTTGTGATGGCATTTGTCATTTATCTTAACATATTGCCCTTGGATTTTAAAAGTAGACTTGAAAATTCTAGTTTTGTCCATTTCCCTACAATCTAGTCCATATGTTTATTCGCTGCAAAGCTGTCCTGAGTCCAGATGCATATACTCTTGATAGGATGTTGCCTTTGGTTAATTAGTTTTTTATAGTTGCATGTCTTCTCTTCCCTTTTGAGTATCTTAGTACATCTTTGCTCATGCTTAGGGTAAGGACCTAGAAGATTAGATTGTGGTTTTAAGGTACAGGATCACTGTTTAGTTTTGGTTTTCTGTGGAATTTTTTAGAACATTTGTTGGGTTGTTGAATTCTCTTTTGATGCATGCTCCCCTTTCTTTTTTAGCTTATTTGAAAACTCTTTTTTTTTTGTGTATATGATCTGGATTATTTGTGCGTGTATAGAATTTCAATTCCAGTGTCATTGCTTGATTTTGACAATGATATTAATCTACCTTGTGATTTCTCCAGATCCTGAGTCTTGAGTGGTCTCCTAAAAAAGATGCTTTGAAGAATGTTGTCCGGGCAAATGTCACCCTTCAAGGTTCTTTTGCAGATATGATATTGATTCAAAATTATAGTGTGGTGGAACATACAGGGACCACATCATTCTTTTTACTGACTAGCCCGGGACAGCTGCAATATTACGACAGTCATTGCTTGTTGGAATTACTTTCTGATCAACATAAAACTTGTACAACTCCTTTCAATTACAGAAGTGTTGTGCCAACGTCTGAACCATACTTGACTGTTGGAAGGTTCATTTCAGTACTTGGAAATACCAAGTGTTCAGAAGCTTTATCAGAGGTGCGAAAAATTCCCACATAAGTGGACTTGGATCTCATCTGTTCTTGCAGTTTTTTTTCTTCCTATGAATCCCTATTGATGAATAATGCTATCTATTTCGTTAGATGGCTTCAGATCCAGCGCTGCAAGAAACATATCTACCAAGTGATAAGAATTTAAAGTGGCCATTAAATGGAGGAGTTCCTTGCCATCTGTCACTTCACGGAGAGAGAAAAGTTGAAAGAATCTACATAGCTGGATACCAGGATGGATCTGTTAGAATATGGGATGCAACTTATCCAGTACTGTCTCCTATTTTTATTTTTGATCTGGAGGTTTGTCTATTGTCTGAAAGTATTGACATGATATTACTGATAGATGTATCTCACTAAATTGTTAATGACATGATTGACATCTATTAGGATAAAGTGTTGGATTCATGGTAACCATATCAGGTGGTAATTGTAGGTCAGAGGTATTACTAACGCTGGTGCAAAAGGATCAGTTTCTGCTTTGGACTTCTCTTCTGAAACTCTAAATATAGCGACTGGCGATGACTGTGGCACGGTGAAAATTTAAATCTTCTGTTTGTATATATTTCTACAGTTCTATAAGTAACCATATTTGATTGCTTGCAAAACAGGTTTATCTTCTCCATCTTATTAGAGATTGCAATGAAACCAGACACATTACCAAAACTGAAGGTGTGGCCTGAAGCGATTACTTACACCATTATTTTGTTACCTAACTTGCTATGTCTTTGTTTTTATTATTTATCTGTTTGCTTTAGATGTATACAACCCATTCTTTTCCATCATCTTTCGATAGATAAAATTTCAATTGAGAAGAAATTTGGTAGTGAGTGGATGGAGGAATATGAGTCAAATTCATTTTTGGAGATAATAATAGTAATGTCTTATTCCTTAAAAAGAATTTTACTCTTAGTGATAAAGCAAAAAAGTTAATAATTACCTAAAGAAATTTAATCGAGATTCTGGAATTTCTGTTGTGATAGCTCATTATTTCCCTTGAGCCATCTTGCACAATTATGCCAATTAAAGTCTTCCAATTTTGGGATTCTTATTTTTGCAAATGTTTGTCAAAGCTAATCTATATATATTACTGACTCTGTTGTGTATTGTTTGAACTTCAAAGTCCATGATTTCGAACAGGATAATGCATCTCATGTCTCAGCTGTCTTTACTTTTTGTACTTCTCCTGTATACACCTTCAGATTCACAAACCTTGGATCCAGGCTTGCAGTTGGATACAAGAGTGGGAAGGTGACTGCATTTTCATAATAAACCGTATTGAAGAATTCCTTTCATACATATTTGATATAGTTGATACTAGACATGTTGCATTTTTTAAGATTTTGCTGTTTGTGCTTCCTTTCAGGTTGCAATGCTGAATATAAGCTCACCGTCAGTATTGTTTCTCATAGACACTCATTCCAGCCTGAATTCCCATGTTGTCTCATTTTCACCGGCAATATCTGTAGGAAATCATGACTTGACAACCAGCTTGGATCATTCCAAAGCTCATGGGATAAGTGACCCTGATAAAGAGCTTATATGTTCCTTGACAAATGATTTTCATATTGCTGTTCTAGATAGCTCTAATGGAAATGTGGTTGGATCTGCCTCCAAAAACCTCAATACAGAGTCAACTGCAATTTCCATGTACATTTTAGGCAAGTTTTACTCCAAATTTCGGCACTTAAGTTTTTCTTTTCATATGATGGCTGATGTAAATACTTATTGCAATATTGTTTTAGAGGGTACCAAGTGCATCACTGGAGTCTCTGGAGGAGAATATCTGCGTTTCGTACCTCAAGAGGACCAGGAAAAAAGTGATCCTGCACAAGTTAGTGGTCATAGTGTTGGGGATCTTGATAAAGTTGACCAATCAACAGACATTGTGCAGACCTCAACGGACTTGCAGATATTAGTTTGTTGCACGGATGCATTACTGTTGTACTCTTTAAAGTCTGTGATTCAGGTTCTTCCCTTAGACATTATTTATCAATCTTTCAAATCGTCAGTCATCCCTTCCCTTTCTCATGACTGCAAACTTTTTTTTTTTAACAGGGGCATGTTGACTCTATCCGTGAGGTTCATCTTCAGAAAACCAGCTGCTGGATAACCACTTTCAAGAAAGACAATGAGTACAGGCTGCTTGTATTTTATCAGACCGGCACTATTGAAATAAGGTGGCTTTTGCTTTAAACCCAGTTTTTCTCACTAATTTTCTAGAGCAAGAGATTATGGTGTTCTTCTATGGGCATAATTGCTACCTCTATGCCAGAAAATAGATTTTTTAAATTTCTCTGTCAAGAAACCTGGGCGTTGACAATGCTTACTTATGCGGGTTCCTGCGGTAAATGTTGATGTCATCCTGGATATCTTTTCTTAGGGTTTGAGAAGACTTTTAGAGACAGATAAATTTTGCTTGATCCTCCAACCTTCATAATTTTGCCAATTGAAAGTACATTATTTAGGTTATTGAGTGACTTTTACTATAAAATAAATGGGAAGGACTCATAATTTTTAGATGTCTGGGTGTACACCCAAACCTTATGGAGCACCTGACACTACTAAACAAGCACATTTTTTACCCGAGTTCACTCTATATGCATTTTAGTTTCTGATTGTAGAATCTGAATTATTTATAACTCTATACTGATAAGAAGATGAAGGTGATACATTCTAGTGGTTAAAAACTTAAAATGCTTAATGACAGGTCTTTGCCAAATCTTGAAATTTTGGAAGAACTGCCTTTACTGTCCATTCTGCGATGGAATTTCAAGACCAACATGGATAAAACTATAAGTTGCACAGAAAGGGGCCAGATTACTATGGTTTGTTTCTTTCTTTCTTTCTTTTACTGTTATTCATATCTATCTATTTTGCTTTTAATTTTTTATATTGTATGACTTAAATTATCAACATGTGGAAAATCAGAGATAAGATACAGCCCACAGCTTGATGCATCCTCTTTGTAGAAGATTTTTTTTTTTTTTTTTTTTTTTTTTTTTTTTTTTTTTTTTGGTTCTTGAAGGATTCTCTTTGTAGATTTTGGCAAAGGGAGAAAGATTTACAAGGATAAATTCTAAGAATGTGACTAATCAGACTGTCACTCACTTTTTATGGCTGCGAATATCCTGAATTTTGAAAGTCTGCCATGACAGTTTTGTTCGGGTGATAATGGAATGGAACCTTGAAATAATTGGTACTTGCTAGTGATGGTTTAGGTTCCTCCATATGTTCACCAAGTTCTTACCTAGTTACCTCAACCAGTTGTTTACGCCATTCAATTCATAACAAACCTTTACCTGAAATAACAGCAAATCTATTTTTGGCAAGTTGGGGACTAAATTAAATTTGTGCCTCCTGTCTGCATTTATCTTGAACATCATCTGTTTGTCTCTTCGATTTGTAGATGTGACTATTAACTGTTATCCTTTTTTCTCATCTTGTACAGGTAAACGGATGTGAATTCGTCATTCTTTCTCTTTTGGCTTTCGACGATGATTTCAGGTCTTTACACTGCACCTTGCCCTCTCATCAATATACTACCCCCTATCCACAATCTCGAGAATTGGTGTGCAATTGAAATTAGGCAAACTCCTTACAATTTTTTTCTCATTTCCTGTTCATTACTTCTAATGATAGGATCCCACAATCTTTACCATGTCTGTATGACAAGGCCTTGACAGCAGCTTTAGATCTGAACTTCTCTCCTAACCAGAAGAAAAATAAGGTAGTTTGATTTATTTTTTATGGAACATGCTTCTCTCAGTTGCTCTTAACTTTGAATCATTGAACAAAAAGAAACTTTTAAACTAATTTTTGGCCTCGCTAACCAATGCTACACATGATTTCATGTATTGTACTTTGTAAATGATCTCTCATTGATTTTAATAAATCGTATAGTCTCCAATGTGTATTGAAAATGGTAGTTTCTGTTTGCATCTATGGTTCATGACTTCTTGCATGTGTTACCATCAACTTGCAGCAGGAAACATCTTCCGGAATTTTTGGTGGATTAATGAAGGGCTTAAGAGCGAGTAAAGAAGCTCAGAATAAAAATCCTGTGGAGGGCTCAAAATCTCTCATCTCAGTAATAGATAATGTATTTTCAAGTTCTAAAACAGATACTTCTGCAGCAGCAAAAGATGCTAGAAAAGTTGTAGAGCTTAACATTGGTCAGTTTTGCGTTCTCTGAGTCATTGCTCCTTCGATTCTCCCGTTCCTCTCTTTCTGAGTTTGTTCTCTTTCTCTCTCTTGACCCAGATGATATAGAAATTGATGAACCTCTACATGTCTCACCTATAGCTCACAAAAGCGAAAGTGAAAATAAAGGTGTGCCAAAAATCATCGTTTTTAGCAGGTACTATGTAGGTTTTTCAGATGCTTAGCTTGTGGCTTAAAAACTTGCAGATAAGAGCACGGAAAAGCAGAAGCTGTTTGAAGGTGGAACCTCTGATACAAAACCAAGACAGAGAACAATCGAAGAAATCAAGGCCAAGTACAGAAAGCCTGAGGTAAAAACCTAAAAACTGAAGTTGATTTCTTATAGTGGGTTTTGACAACAAATTTCTTGACTTAGCTTTTCTTTACAGGATGCATCCTCGGCTACAGCTTCTGCTGCCTCAGAAGCTAAAAACAAACTTCTAGAAAGGCAAGAAAAGCTCGAGGTATGGTATTCTAATACTGCGTATAATTTTGTTAGAAATTTTGGTATGGAAGTGCCAAACTGAAAATACATGAGCAACACATAGGATTTAAGTTGATGTTTCTTTACCAATTTCATTACATTCTTTGGGCTATAAATTAAGGAAACTACTGAATGTAATCCTAATGGCTATGTATAAAACGGTGAAGGCAGAAATACCAAAATTTTAGTAACACCAAGCAATGTGTGATTTTGTCATAAATTATTAATTTAATAGATATATTGGTTTAGAAATTATAGCATAACCAGTTTCAAAGCTACAAGTCTTCCAACTAACTTTCTAAAATTGACCCTAAGGCAGTAAGCCACTCTTTAGGTACATTATCAAATTCGTTTTTTTTTCATGCAGTGGATCTCGAGTAGCTTTAGATGCATTCAAGTTCTTTTTTTTCTTTCTTGTTGAAAGTCCCTCCGAATTCATTATGCCTTGGTATCTGTTGTTACTTCTTTGAAATCCAACTTGCCTTGATATGTTCCCCGTGCAATATTTCAGAGGATCGGCCTGAACAGCGAAGAGCTAAGAAATAATGCAGAAAACTTTTCCTCCATGGCCAAAGAGTTAGCAAAGAAGATGGAAAGTCGTAAGTGGTGGCAATTATAAGCAAGAACAACCAATGACTATTTTCTGACCTACAATACTGCCACCTTCAATAACTTCATCTTATTAAACGACTACAGCCACATGGTTAATTCATGAGGTTCGACTTTCAAATACGTTCATCCAATTAGCCAGTGATCAGGTGATTATTCACCTTGATAACTAAGCATGTATTGAAGCTGTATGTTGCATCAAAATCCGAGTACATTGCTCAACTAAGACTACCATATTTGTATATACATTTCACAAGCAAAGTGGTTTCGCTCTGAAAATAGGGTTGACCGGCGGTCACTGTAATACTACAACCTCTCTGGATTTCTACCTTATGTATGTAAATTATGTATCCAAATTCCAAATTGTATGATGTATCCAATTTTTACTTGAGATATATAGTATTGAAACGGATCTAACCAGACTGTTGGAACTCCACCTCTAGTTAATAGGTTCATCCCTCTCCGAAGAGCCCTTAATGAGGAATCGAACGTGAGACCTCAAAGCCAAAAGCTTAAGCTTGGTAAATTGGTAATTGTACAACGTATGTTGTAACCAGACAACAGACAAGTGTACATCATGCAATACCTAATTGCTGGTTTCGAAGAAATCTAGTTAATGGATGTGGTGTTACCATTTACAAGTACAATTTTCCGTACTTAATTGGCGGACTTTGCATGTTTTATTAAAGGCTTCTTCTTGTTTCGGTACTTGGTCATTGACATCGCCTTATTCATTGCAAATCTGTAGGCTATGCAGTTTATGAAATGCGCAGTGATGCACAATCTTCCAGCTTGCTGCTATTTTCATAATAACTTTAACCAAGCCGTAAATATACGGGGGGTTTTTTTTTACAAGCATATGAATCTTAGTTATGAGAGGTTCAATGAACTTTCTTCCATTTCCATATGCAGCTTTTGATGAAAAAAAAAAATCGAGATGGACACAAGCACAACACATATAACATGTATGCAAGTAATAAATTTCAGTCATAACGTATGTCCTTCGTATCTAATTAAAATGAGGTGACCAGCACGTGCACTACATGAATGCATGAGGGGGACGCATATGCGTCCCCCTATGGCTATTAACATACATGTGTGTTATGCTTATGCTAATAGAATGAAGCAACTGTTACAATTATTTTTAATGGAGTGAGTAGTAATTATCTTAAGCCTAAATTGTTTCTTTCTTATGGCTTGAAAGAGTTTACAATTCAAGCATCTGAATTCTTGTTCTTGGAAACTACCACACTTCACTTGTGAATACCGAGTCTATCTCTTATTAATGTTACAAGAAGAAAAAACTAAGTAACGTAAAAAAATCCATCACATAATTTATTTCGTGTCAACTAAATATGATACCAAAACCTAGAATTTTGTTATGCCATTAAAATATATAACTTCCGTGTCATACTATATCTCTGAATCTTATACTAACTTTTTCAAATTCAATACAAAACTATTGACTGCATGAATTTGTATGACTTTCCGTTGACTTTATCAATTAATATTCGCATATGGATGCTACAACGACTAGGTTGAGTATCGCGTTTTTAATATTTTACAACATTTATTTGGATTTTTGTAACACCAAACTACTAAATTTTATCGAAATTTAAATATTTTGACTTGAATATGGACGGTGAATACATGTGAAATGAGAAATTGAGTAGAAAGTTATAGTTTAACTATTTCTCTTTTTGTTAATTAACTTAGAACATTTTACAACAGATTATTTAAATAATTTATTTTAAGAAGATTATTATAATAAGTAATATGGTACCATGTAATTATTGGTTGTGTTGTGTGTGAATTATACAAGAAAACTTAATTATTCATAGTCGTTGTTTTTTACTTTTATGCATGGAGTATCAAATGTCAATACTCATCGTACATGTTATCATGTCAATATCCCTTCGAAAAACCTCTCATAAACATATCTACACTATGTGTCTGTTTTTATTTTAATGTTATACACGGAATATAACATATTGTTTCTGTCAGGATCCAATCAACCCGAGCTTGAGATCCGTGATACTCCTATCGACAAGCTGAGAACCTACACAATGAACAGAGATTAGCTAACCCCGGGGTGATACGGGAATAACCACTCCGATGATAAAGTTAGAATGTGTTTAAGAAGAAGATAAGAAATAATGAAGAGAGAGAAAGTAGAGAGAGAGTAATAAATGCTAACCTCATTAATGAAGCTTAACCTACTACTCCCTCCGTCCCAAAAAGAACGACCTATTTGGGTTGATTACGCGTGTATTAAGGAAGTTAAGTAAAAAGAAGTAAAAGTATATTGGAAAGATAAATTTACATGGGAATTGTAAAAAAATAGAGAGAGAAAGTAATAAAATAACATGGAAAATTAAATTTTTATATGGGAAAGCTAATTTTACACAAATATTGTTGCAAATTGGTGGTGTTTTAATGCAAATGGGTCATTATTTTTGGGATAAAGTTTTGGCCAAATGGGTCGTTCTTTTTGGGACGGAGGGAGTATTTATAATAATCCTCATGACAGGTGGTTGCATGGCATGCAGACCACCTTGCGCCAAGTGTCAAATTACTGATGACACGTGCCAGTCGCCAGTCGCTGACAAGCCGATATGTATGCCGATTTCATAACTACCAGTACGTCCGAGAGTAGCCGATTTCATTTTTATACTACAATATTTAGGAATGAGTGTTTATTAAGCTCCAAGGAATTACTCCCTCCGTCCCTAATTGTTTGTTCCACTTTTCTTTTTAGGGTGTCCTTAAAAAATTGTCCCATACTATATTTGGCATGTTTTTCCACTTACACTCTCTCTACCTCTCTCCTCGTTGACATTTGTGCCAATCCATGTGCACTATTTTTTGGCCAAAGCCTTAATAAAGTGGATTTATGGTTTGGGGCAAACAATTGGGGACGGAGGGAGTATTTGTTATGAAGTAGGATTTTTTATAGCGCAATAAATAAAGCTTGTACAATTAATCGATTATTAATTCCGAATAGACAAAGATGAATGGATGGTATCTAATATCCGTGGTCACTAAAGATCAACAAGAAAGCCATGATATTTTTAGGTATTGTGTTTTGTATTGTGGTAGGAAATAGAAAGAAAACAATCGCCGAAATATGTAAAATGTGTGAATGAACAAGTTTTGACCACGTCCACAACTTTCCACCATCACCGTACCGTATTGTGGTCCGTGTGGATCCGCTTTCACATCCCCTTTTTTTAATTTTTAAATTTTTGTTTTTTTTACAACACCAAAAGATACTCCTTAATTGGCATATCATATTCATTTTACTCAACTATGGGTTTATCATAATCATTAAATTGGAGAAATATTTTCTTGCTTTCACCGTTACATTATTGGTTCATTAGGCACGTTTCCCTTTACACCATTTTTATTATTACTCCGTAATATCTTTAATTGTTAATTAGATGTTTACTTTGCGTAAGGTATAACTTGAATAAGGCAAATCTAACAAAATTGTTGTACATGTCTATGTAACGTTTTTTTAAGTATTATGTACGAAATACTAATGATAATGGAATTTCCTTACCTCACCTACAGGATTTTTCATCTTAGTTTTTTTTTTAAAAAAAAAAAATAATGATACAAATATCAACATGGTCTCAACCTCACGCACGTTGACGAACCAACAAAAACCAGACGAAAGAGCGAGTCAGCCATATTAAGCTGTGTTTCAAACCAATGAAATTCTCTGAATTCTGAAATTTCCACATTTCCTATGTCAGTCAATTACCCTAGCCCACAAAAAGCTTCTTCCAAAAAATAATTATATTAATCATAAACTTTTTATTTACTGGTATAATAATACTGCGTATAATCCTAGTCCACATAATATTATTATTCCCTCCATGGCTCCATTTATCCCTATTTTAAAATTTTGTCTCCCCAATGTAAGATTTTGTTAAATTTATCTTATTATTTTCGGTAATATTTTATTTTTATCAAATTTTTTTTTTAATTTTTATACGTATATGAGGACGTACTACGTAATACCCCTACGTAGTGACATAATGTCATTGCGTATTTGTGTTGTGGTCTTGAGGCCTTGTGGGTCTCTATATACTTAATGCCCTCATGTTACTCTTTTGTTAAAATGCCATCTATCTCTTTCTATGAAGACATTTTATGTGGATGTCAACTTTTTTAATTAATAAATTTATGATGCACATGACGATGCAAAGTATTTAATATTATAAATCGATGGATTATGTTTACATTATTAGTCAAAAGTTTGTAGAGTTTAATTTGATCGTCGAAATAGAAATGAGGATTATATTATGGGAATATGAAAATTTGCTATTATAAATGCTGGTAACAATTTGCGTATTGAAATATATTGTGGATTCCTTTGTTAACCTTACCAATCAATTAAATTTCACTTCTATTCAAAAAAAAAAATCACTTAAAAACTGGGTATTTATTTATTTAAGCACACAGTTTGAGTAGCACTATTCACCTGCTATCAACATATAGGTGTGACTCAATAGCTTGAAGTAAATTCAAGTATGACTAGATGAGTAATTTTATTTATTTATTATTTTTTTCAAGTATAAAACGTGTTTTTTAGGCCTAGGTGATGATTTTTAGGCTATTTTAGTTTTAAGACTTGATAATCCAAACCAACACAACTCAACCTGATTTAGCAAGCTTATTTAGGTGTGAAGTTTTAGGCACCTCTTACACCGAAACAATCCCCATCGATCATATTCTATAAAGAGTGGCCTTAGCTTCTTATATCACTTCTAACTAAAATTGACTTTGATAGTTACAAACTTACAAATACACTTATTAGTTTTTGTCAATTTTCTATTTATTCATCATACATATTTACAATTTTTGTGGATTATAACAAGTTAACCAATTTTATGCCATTGTTTCGCAAATGTGCGCTTAAGTAAATTTCTTTACTACTCGTATAGTGTTTTTTCATTTTGAATCATGTCATGTTGTGCCTCATGCTTAATATGTTATTTTTTTAAAATAAATACTCCGTATTTATTTTCCCTTCTCTTCACTCTAATATTTGCATTATCATCAGCAAGACAACAAGCCCTAATGTATCTGTGTCGTGCTTTTCCTGCTTTAGTCTTAGAATAAAGTTTCATTAATAGCAAACCTACTCTATAAACAGGCAATGAGGTTGAAAAGTGCAACTACACACATCATTTCAAATTCAAGCCACCTTATTTTAATTTTGATGGACTGATTTCCGGCCACTTTAAACAAGTAAAAACTTTTTTTTTACGAGTACTTGCAGGAACTCAACTGGAAATATCCCAAAAACCTAGAAAAACAGAGAGCCCAATTTATTTATTTTTTTCTTCCCCTTTTCTTGAAATCAGTGTATTCATACTAGTAAAAAACTATGCTATAAATAACACCATTATTCTCCATTAAAATAGCAAAAATACAAGAAACAAGAGGGGCAACAAGTAGAACAAGGTCCTTAAATTTTGCTGTACTTTACCATATTTTTGTTATCTAAATTCTCAACTTGTAGATTTTGTGGTACACTAAAAAACCCAATATTGTGGCAGAAATTAAACCTTATATTATCTCTTCAAACCCCTTAAATAAAAATTAAAATCTCATTCAATTTTCTCTCTCCTCAAAAACCCTTAAAAAATCCCTCCTATTTTTGTTGGGAGGGTATTCTGAAAGTACCCTAAAAAAAAGCTTCACTCTTTTCCATAAAAATGGCGAGTTGGGTACTCTCAGAATGTGGTTTAAGGCCTCTTCCTAAAACCTACCCTAAACCCAGAACAGGGTTTTCATCAAGTTTCAATAACAATCCCTTAAAAATCAAAACTTCCCCTGTTTTTTCAGATCTGAAATCAATTTCTTGTTGCTCGAATTCTAGAGAGAGAAAGTGGGAGGTTAATGTTAGTGCCCCATTAAGGGTATCTAACCCACCTCCAATTGAAGAAGATAATAATGAAAATAATAATAAAGTTATTGATGAATTTAATCCTGGTGCACCACCTCCATTCAAATTGGCTGATATTAAGAATGCAATTCCTAAACATTGTTGGGTTAAAAACCCTTGGAAATCAATGAGTTTTGTTTTTAGGGATATTGCTATTGTTTTTGGATTAGCTGCTACTGCTGCTTATTTCAACAAATGGATTGTTTGGCCTCTTTATTGGATTGCTCAGGGTACCATGTTCTGGGCTCTCTTTGTTCTTGGTCATGACTGGTAAGTTTTTCTAGTTTTCATTATGCTTCATGCTTTCTGATTCTTTTCGGGTTCGTTCTAGGACACCAATAATAGGTCTTGTATAGAACGAGTGTATTGTGTATGACTCTATGTAATGGGATTGACTTAGTCGTCTCCAATCACATAAAAAGTTACCCATTTGCAATATTGAGATTTATGTGATTTGGAGTGACAGATGCCAATTGATTCTTTGCTTGTGATGGGGGTTGTTGTGAATTGTGATGCTCTAATATTAGTTTTAAAATATGTTTTATATTGATAATGTGTGTAACTGTATTTATTTATTTGTTGCATGTAATTGCAGTGGTCATGGAAGCTTTTCTAATAATCCAAAGCTTAATAGTGTTGTGGGCCACTTGCTTCACTCTTCAATCCTAGTTCCTTATCATGGATGGTATGTTAATTTGCTGATAATTGTAATTTTAATTTATGTTTTAGACTATTTTATGATTAATTATGATTGATAATATGAATTATAAGATGATGATTAGTCTGAAACTGAAATTTAGAACTTTTGTTTTTATGATTATATAGGAGAATTAGTCATAGGACTCATCATCAAAACCATGGGCATGTTGAGAATGATGAATCATGGCATCCAGTAAGCTTGTTAAACTCTACTTTCATGTTATTGCCATTTTTCTGGGAGAGTTTGTAGTTAACTCATTATATTGTGCTATATTTCAGATGTCTGAAAAACTAAACAATGGTATGGACTATTTGTCAAAGAAGTTAAGGTTCACCTTTCCATTTCCCTTGCTTGCATACCCTATATACCTGGTAAGCCTTGAATCCACCATGGTTTTAGCTATGTCACCATTTCACATTGATATTTGCTGTGTTCGTTAATCGTTATACCAATATCGTGATTGATCTTATTGCAGTGGGTACGGAGTCCTGGAAAATCAGGTTCTCATTATCATCCGGATAGTGATTTGTTCACTCCAAACGAGAAGAATGATGTGTTAACCTCTACAGCTTGTTGGTCAGCAATGGTTGCATTGCTTGTGGGTTTATCTTTTGCCGTGGGTCCTATGCAGGTGCTCAAGCTCTATGGTGTTCCCTATGCGGTGGGTTTTGAAGTTTTATCTCGAATTTCTGATGTTATTACCTTAGTAATGAATGCATAATGAAATTTGTTGAATTAGTCATCTTGTTGTTGATACATTTGCTGTTCAATACAGATTTTTGTTATGTGGTTGGACTTGGTGACTTACTTGCATCACCATGGGCATGAGGATAAACTACCTTGGTACCGCGGACAGGTATGTTATTGGCTTAATTAGCCTTCTAAGGTTTTTGTTGCAGACTTGGAAGTTTGTTGATCATCAGTATTTAGGATGTTTAGATTCAAAGTCTGATTGATCTGCCTGTTTCCTTGAGTAGGAATGGAGTTACCTTAGAGGAGGTCTAACAACAATTGACCGTGATTATGGATGGATCAACAATATCCACCATGACATCGGAACTCATGTCATTCATCATCTTTTCCCACAGATTCCACACTATCATCTAATTGAAGCAGTGAGTATCCATTGCAAATAGCCTAATTAGTTCGACTTTGTTTACGTTTGTTATTTTTTTTTCTAACGTTTGGTCTGCATCTGTTTTTGCAGACAGAGGCAGCGAAGCCAGTTCTTGGAAAGTACTATCGCGAACCAAAGAAATCTGGACCTCTTCCATTTTACTTGCTCAGTGTTCTCATGAAAAGCTTTAAGAAAGATCATTATGTTAGTGACACTGGAGATATTGTCTACTATGAAACAGACCCAACTCTGTAGTCTGACAGATTCAAGTGACTGCAACGACAATGAACCCGGTGAATGTATTGGAGGTGCAAGCAGGAGGGATCCAATTAGATTTGTCATAAATCGCGACTTGTGTAGTAGCAGCCCCGAACTGTATCCTAGTTTGTCCTCCCTAAGAACGGTGAGGAGGGCATTGGACAGATGCCTCAGAATTGATTACCATCATTGTACCGATCACGGTGCAAAATTTGGATAGAGGGGGAGGGGGTGGGAGATAGGGATTAGGCAATTTATATTAATAATATATGAGTATAATTGTGTTTACTGTTTTTCTTCCGTTTTAATCAGTCTGTATCATACATTATTTGCAACTTTTTGTATAGAATTAAGGGACTCCAAATTTATAAGTAGTAGTAGTAATATGCAAGTTTTGCATATTACTTTGCTACCCTAATAAACTTGAAAGGCGCTCATATTTTTCCCCTATGATACTTCGTACTGTATTTATTTTAAGCATGTCATAGTTATTCTCCGTACAATCTAAGCAACTTGGTTTAGATCGCCAACAATAATACTTCTTTCGTTTTAGAATAACAGACTCATTTTACTCACATAAACCTTTCTCTTTTTTTTTTAAGTTTCATTTCGTCTTTGTGTTAGGTTACTATTCACTTTCAATCAATCAAACGTAATAATCTAATTTTTTTCACTTGCTTCTTATATCTTGTTTATATTCGCCCTAATCAATCCAGATTCCATCATTTTACTTTTTTTTAATTTTTTCACGTTTCTAAAAATACATGAAAAAGTTGAACAAGACTATTTTTTTTTTTGTTTACAAGAACAAGACTTTTAATTTAGGGATAGAGGGGTACTATCGCTTTTCATTGCCGAAAAATGAATAGCTTATTGGTCCATTCATTGTAATTTGTAAAGACTAAATACTGTAGACACCCAAATGTGTCTCCCCAAAACCAAACCCAGTGATGAGTACCTTTCGCGTCGAATCATAATCGAATGAAATGAAAGTGTGGAAAGTCTAGTGTTGCGGGAAGTTTTATTTTCTTTTCTCTTCTCTCTGTTTTTTGAAAACTTATTTTAAGAAAACAGTCAATCCAGTTTGGTTGGTCCATGATATGGGTCCAATAGTAGTGTAGTTGGATGGGGGTTGCAAAGAGCTTTCCAACGATATATTATGAGCCCAATTCTGATGAGTATTGAGGAAGTTATGGCCAATTTACTAAACTGGGCCCGGTTTGAGCTTTATGTACGGCCCAATGATCTAGGGGAGGGCCTAATTTATCATTCCTAATGCAATTAGGAATGGTTTTAGTCTTCTAGATTCTTCTAGAAGATTCTTTTCATTCCTAATTCAATTAGCATTGATAAATTGACTTTCGTTGACTTTTCAGAGTTTTAATCAAAATCAAATAGCATTTTCGAGAAAATTATATGATTTTATCCTCCAGTACGGCAAACTTATCGGATTTTCGAAAACGCGTTAAAATTAGGCTTGGCGCCTGGAACCTGGCGCTAGCCATTGGCGCCTGGCGCTAGTGTTGGTGCCTGTCGCCAGCTAGCCAGGGTTGGCGCCAACTCTGTTTTTTGTGCGTCAGACTCTGTTTTGTTTAATTTATCTTTTTGGCTGATTTTCTCTATAAATATCGTATTAAAAATTCCGTTTTCTTCATTCATTCATCACCGATTCATTCATCACCAATTCATTCATCATCAATTCTCATCTACACTCATCTACAATCAGTTTTAATTAGTATTCATCAATTCTTTCTTTCTTTCTCTAAACTTTGCTTTCACATACAAAATTCCGCATTCATAAGACTTAGATACACCTAGCCATATTCGAAGTTGTCTTCGCCCTAGACGTGAAAGGTTTAATTTCTGAGGGTTTGGTCCCAAATCTTTATTTCAATTATTTAATTTAATTGTTTGATTTATTATTTTCCTTGAAGTTACTAACGTGTGTATTTTGTTATTAGAAAGTGGTACGAGGCATCAAAGTAAGTACTTTAATGATTTTAATTGATATTATGATGTAGAAATCATGTTTATATTGTTATTATGATATTCCTAGTATCATGTCTAGGGTAACTTTAATATTAAATATGATCCCTGCGATTCTTCCTATGTTCTTCCTAATATTTATGATTGTTAGTATCATGTTAGGGTTAAAGATTTGATTTTTATTGCTTAGTGACATGCTAGGGTTTGTTATTAATCTTGTTAGTATCATACCTAGGATCTTGTTATTATTATGCTTTAATATTAACATGATTATGATTATGATTATAATCGTTATAATTTATGATGGTTATGAATATTATTATTATTATTATTATTATTTTGATGATGATTATTTTATTTATAATTATTATTCATGATCATAATTAATTTATTATGTTGCTTGATTATATTTATTTTGTTATTGCTTGATCACACCTTTTATGCATGTTTAAAGAGAATTTGTACTTGTAATCACGCTTAATAAGATAATTAATAATCTTGTTTAGGGTTAATGTGGTTATAATTCAAGTGATCGCCAATAATAGTTTGTTTGTGCATTAATATTCAACCAACATAGATAAACAGGTTTAGGGTTAATCCTATTGATTGTATGTTAATCAGAAAACGCACATGAATATGATCAGAATAAAGTAGAGGCCTATTATTAGGGCAGGTTCAATCTCTTTTAGGTTGGATTTGTACCTTCATCCCCTAACCCTTATTTGGTTCTAGACCTTATGGAGTTGACGATCTCTTGGATTGTTAAGGGGTGTAACCTTTCACCTCGTGAACGGTTTACAAGTTCCTAAAAAACTTATTGGCGACTCTTTTGCTCTATCTTCTTCCCTTTTGGACGCCACCGTACTTTAGTATATGATCACAGTGGAATTCAAGTTAGTGGGATTTAAAAGCTTGAAATCTATTCCCTACAAATACTAAAAGGGTTGTTGAGGTCATATTAAAGTAATAATATTCATCATTAGTTAAGCATTTAGAAATGTCAATTCTAATGAACATGCACATGGATAATGCATATCTAACCAACCAATGATGCTTGTTCCTACATCACTATGTGATGCAATTTGGACTGTTTTCTAGTGCAAAACATTTGGCTGTTGTTTTTTCAAAGGGCCATAAGAAAGATAATTACTATGGAGTACCTCCGTTTCATATTATGGCAACAAAGAATTATTTTATATCTCACAAATAATACCCCTTTGTTGCACATAATACGAAACGGAGGTAGTAGAAAATTAAGGGCTTATTCTCGGCTTAATTTCAGTTCAGTTTAGTTTCAACGTAACCAGTGCACTTTAGTTTAGTTCTGCTCCTAATTTCCTTCTCTCATAAACAATTTATTTCATCTCTATTCAGTTCATATCAGCTCAGTTCAGTCCCCGTCACATAAAATAGTGTTTTTTTTTTATTTGGGATAACCAAAAATGTTGTTCTTGAATCTATTTTTGAATAGTATGTAAAGATCATTATACCCTCACTTTTTTTTAACTTTATTCATTATACTTCCTAATTTACCTTTGAATTTTGCACATGCTTGTACTTTTTTCCACTTTCTCTCTTTAATTTTTTACTATGATTGTACTTCAATTTTATTAAAGTACTTTATTCACTTTCTCCTCTAATTTCTTAAATACTGTAAAAAAAACACAAATAAGAACTATACAATATTATAGAAGAAGTATCTCTTTTAAATGCTTTGACTATTCAAAAGGACAACTCTATAAATCAATAAACAACACGAAACTCTATTTACTCACATTACAGCATTACACGTAGTACAAGTTTCACATTTTAATTAATTGTAGGTTACAAGTTACTATGTACAGTAAGTTATACGTACTGTTTGCCGAGGTTCCTAGTAAACTGGTAATGAATTGTGATAGCTGATACAGATACTCACAGGTAGGTGAATTGTGGTCAGCACAGCGCTTAATTAGTCGAAGAGGCCCTTCAAACTGGACCACAGTACCACACCTTAACTAGCCCGGTCCAATATGGGCCCTTTTTCTTTAATTTTTATTAAAAAAAAAATACAAAGTACTCTGTGTTGTCTTTAATTAAGATCTCATTTCTCTCCAAGATTTATTTATTTTTTTTATTTATTTTTATTTATTTATTTTTTTTTTACGAAAAGATCTTGTTTTTAAATATAAAGTCTTCACCTATAATATTTATTTTATCCACTTATTAACCAATTAACCCTAGATCTGTCAATTCGGATAAACGGGTCGGGTAAGAGTGGGTCGGGTCAATTCGGAATAATTCCATAATCTATGCGGATCAGGTTTGGGTTGGCTCATGCATGAGTCGGGTCACGTCGGGTCATACTTCTTATCGGGTTTGGGTCGGGTTACATTCGGGTCAAGTGAACAATAGGTCGGGTTTAATTCGGGTTTTCACGGGTTAAAACAAGTTAGGGTAATTTTCGGGTTCGGTTCAAGTCAATAATTTGCGGTTTAGAATCAGGTCGGGTCATTCTCGGGTTTGAGTCGGGTTCGGTTCAAGTCAATAATTTGCGGGTTATAATCAGGTCGGTCATTTTCAAGTCGGGACATTCTCGGGTTCAAGTCGGGTTTAGTTCAAGTCAATAATTTGCGAGTTATAATCAGGTTGGGTCATTTCCAAGTCAGGTCATTCTCAGATTCAAGTCGGGTTATGTTCAAGTTAATAATTTGCAGTTTACAATCAGGTTGGGTCATTTCCAAGTCAGGTAATATATGGGTTCAACTAACTATAAATAGATAATTATTATTTTTATCAAGCTAATTATTTCCTTTGACTATAATATATATGACAATATACTAGGAAACTATAGTCTATAATTTAGAAAGATAATTATCTTCTTCGACCATACAACAAATATATACTATATTTAACTCTTAAATTTAAGGATGATTCTCCTTTCTTTTGCTGGCCTGGACCGACTTGATCTCCCAAGACAAAATGTTTTGATCAACAATAATAAGGTGGTCTAAATTGCATTTAAAGTGATTTGAAATCGGGTCAGGAACAATTAGGGTTGAATTTAGGTCAGGTCAATAACAAAGTCGTGTTAATTTCGAGTCGGGTTAGTAACAGATCGGGTAGAATTTTTGGGTCAGGTAAGTAATAGATCTAGAAAAAATTGTGTCAAGTCAATAACAAGTCGGGTTGAATTTGGGTCAGGTCAATAACAAGTCGAGCTGATTTCGGGTCGGGTTTGTAACAGGTTAGGTTAAATTCGGGTCGGGTGAGGAACAGATCTGGTTGAATCAGGTCAGGTTAGTAACAGGTCGGGTTAAATTCGGGTTTTGACGGGTTAAAACGGGTTTGAGGCAATTTCCGTTCAAGTCAAGTTCAGTGCAAGTTAATTAAATTGGCCGTTGTAAATCGGTAAATAGGTGCAAGTTGTAAACCGGTAAATTGGCTGTTTAAAAGCGAATTGGACAGTTCCACACAACCAATTG